CTGAAAATTATATATTATTGGGATAGCAATAGCAAAAGTACAAATTGGAAAGTTATAGGTTGGATAAGAAATAAAAACAAAATGAATCGTTTTTTTAAAACTAATCAAATTGATGTGAAACATTTGTCAATACTCATTCACAATTGATCGCAGACGAATACTGAAATTATTGCTTTCAATTTTTGCTGAAAAATTTGAGATGAATATCATTTAAAAAATATTTTGAATTTTTTGTTATTCAAAAAAATACAATGTACTAAGATTGGGTTATAAGTTAATTTTAATTCAATAACTAATTGAATTACTCTTTTATATAAATCAAATATAATAAATTCTATAAGTAAGACATAACTAAGACATGAAAATCTGAAATATAGAATTGTAAAGAAGTAAATACAATTATTACTATTACTATTCATTCATATAATAAATAATAAAAAATCTTTTTTCTTATTGAGTAAATTAAAATTAAAATTTAAGTTAAAAATTAGGCATTAAAGAAAAAGAAAATAAAAGAAAGGCATGAAAAAGTGTTAAAAATTAAAAAAAAATGTTAATTTATTATAAAAATAAAAAAAAAAGAAAATTAATTAAATTTTATTGATAAATCTGATTATACTAATTAATTTATAATTTATATAAAACGAGAAGAAAAATACATTTATATCTGTCTTTTCGTTCTTTCATTCAAATAAAATCAAAATCAATTTCAAACTCCGCCCTCTTTCATCTTTCCATCCTATTTGATATTTATTCTTCAACGTTACAAGGCGGAGCATTCATCATCTATCAGCTGCTTCTATAATACAATCATACCAATCGTTAGATACAAGTATGTGTATGTATGTGTATGTGTGTGTATGTGTGTGTATGTATGTGTGTGTGTGTGTGTGTGTGTGTGTACGGATATATGTTCAAATGTAGGAATGGAGAGAGAGAGAGGGAGAGAGGGAGAGGGAGAGAGAGGGAGAGAGGGAGATTTGGATAATTTATTCTGTCAAAAATATTTTAGCTGTGAATGATATCTATGCATTTTTTTATAGCTATTTTCATTATTTTCTACAATATTTCATTTACACTAAATGTTTGAATTTTTTTTTTTTTTAATTTTATCTTTTATTAATTAATTGTTTGACAATCTTATAGTAAATTTTCTGTTTTATTTATAAATTTTCTGTTAAAAATAAATTTTGTTTAATGAATTTATTTTGGCTATAACATTGAGCTAAAATTTGGCCGAATATTTGATTATATATGTATTTGTTAGAATTAATAAAAGTATTGATTAAAACATATTTTATTTATTTATTTATTTATTTTTACATTTATTTCTAATTTGATTAGATACTTTAAATTGAAAATGCACTTTTTTTTACATTCATAAAAATGGCTTTTTTAAAATAAAATAAAATATATTTTAATTATTACTTTTTCTTAATAAAGCTAAATTGGTAAAAATTCTTTTTCTTGCTATTATTTTTTAACATGATAAAGAAAAATAAAAACTAAGTGTAAATTATATTTTGTTACAAATCAAGCATTTAGTGGGTAATTATTTACGAGTAATTTTAACTTAAAATAACTTTTAAGTTATTTTAAGTTAAAACTGAATAAATTTTCATTTCATTCATTCATTCATTCTGATTACAATTATCAAACAAAACTAAATTTTTCATTTGATCAATTAATTATCACAAATTTTTTGCTAACTTCTATTGCATTAAAAATTTCTCATCTATAAAATTTTTTATCCATATGCGATTCTTTCCATTATTCATTTTTCATTTTAAATAATTTAAATTATCAGAATCAGTTTATGTAAATTGAAGGGAAAAATGATGATCTAAGAATTGAAATTGTATGACATATCTTAATTTCTCTCCTCCTAACATCTTGGCTTAAAGGTCAAAGTATAACTGATACGTTCTATCATATCATTGACTTGATTAACTGTAATTAGTGATAAGGTGTCAAGGAAAATACATGAAAAGTAATACTTTAGTTTTCATATAAAAAATTTTAAATTTGACCTTTTCAAAAAAAAAAAAAATAATTCTTAAATAAAATTTCATCCACTGATATTAGTTAATAGTTAAGAGATATGTCTTGTTTACTTTGATATATTGAAGTAAGTCTTCGTCTAATATTAAATGTATAAATTATTATAACATCACTTACTAAAATACAATTACCGTAACTTATGCAATTTATTTTTTTTAAACTAAATTTTTTATCCTCAAAATTGACTCTAAGAATTACTGTAGTATTTATAACAATAAATGCACCAATTCGATATGACATTACAATTCAAAATTTGTAGTGATAAAATTAAATTTCATATTTGAACTAATAATAGGAAAGTTTTTATCTTAAGTACATCACTGCACTTGAAAGAATTCTAAACAGATGTTTACATTCCGTTTAATATTTCATTAACGAGGCTATCTTCAAGATCTGTTGAATAATTGCTTCAAGTTTATTAAGCTTTTACAATGAAAGAGATCTTGATTTATGTCTAAATTTAAATTTGAATTTATTACAGTGTCAACTGTGCTACGAACATTGATTACAAAAGATGAAGTGATTGTATGCATAAGCCGATTACGGTGACACTTTTATATAAGTTGATGACATTGTTTAATCCAGTGTAGCCAACAAAAAGGTCATCTTACTAATCTTGTGACATTTATATTCGGTTGTGAAAATGATTTATTACACGAATCATTCGACAACTTTCACTTACACTGCATATTTAGGTTTTTCTAACAATTGAAACATAACTTAATTAATATTAATCTCAGTACTTACAGTATCCATCGAGAATACAAGCAAACGTTCTTACGTAGGTAATTTATTTGCATGCTGAAGTTAAAGGTCATATAATTTCGTTGTTCTTATTTTTGCATATTTAAATGAGTCACCAATCATATAATCTTCACTGAGACATTTGAATTAAATTGTTTCGATAAGTATTGCAAATGTAAGTATTACTCAAACTGTACTTGAAAGTTTGACATTTGAGTTCATTAAGTTTTACTGATGTCTAATTATAATATCATTTACATATGTCAAATCTTCAATAAAATCATAATCTCTGCTTTATAAAATGCAAAATTTTTTTTCGAATTTTGTTTTAGGTATTTAACAGTATTTTTTTTTTGAAATTAAACATCATCAAACTATTCATTTATAATTTTTCACTTCTATGTTTAAACACAAATTACAACTACTTTATCTTTTAAACATACACACAAAATTTTCCGTAATATATCATTGCTATGTCCACTTCATCTTAAAAAAAGAAAAAAAGTTGTAAATTTTTTTGTTTTCAGAGAAAAACAAAAAAAAGACGAAATCATGATTTCCCTCAAATAATATCTATGAAAAGTATGCAAATATTTTTAATTAAGTTATACAAATATTAACTTTAAACTTTTTTCTGCTTAATTTATTATTGAACAATTTTATTTAACTCTAGTTTTTTCTTAAATGCTCTTTTCTTCTCTCTCCATTTCTCTCTCTCTCTCTCTCTCTCCATCTCTTTCTGTCTTGGCAAGGTTTTGATACTTAAATTAATTTTCTCAAATACCACACATCTCACTTTCTGATAAAGCTTTCATCCTGAAACTCTTCCTGTTTAGCTATTCTTTAACTGAATTTGTTTTAATCGTAATTATCATTTACTAATTTCAACTTTATTCCTAATATTTACTCACTTTCAGTTTCTAACTTTCAATGCCAATTTTTATTTGTTTGCAAAATTGCTGTACTGATAATTTCACATTACGAAGCTAAATTTCATACCGTACTTCCAGACGAATCACATCTTTCCCATTACGATAGATTCCTGCATGCGTGTGTATGTGTGTATGCGTGTGTGCGTGTGTGTGTATGTGCGTGTATGTGTGTATGCGCGTGTATATTTGCGCACTTTCTGCTAGGAAACGGTACAATAATTTTTTTTTTTTATTTCTTTTTTGTCACAAAATTTGTCATCGAATTGAACAGATTTATACATTTGATCTGCAAAAATTCCTTCCCCAACTCGCATAAAATTTGCACATTTCAATGTTATAATATATTTAAATTAAATAAATAATCAATGATTGATTAAATTTAATCGATTTGATCGATTAAATTTATTCGTTTTCATTTTCACTGAATTTTCAAGACGGAAACGATCTCGTTGTATCTTTTTTTTTTTTTTAAAAATTCATTCCTTTTTTTCTTTTTTTTATTTCTCGGCGCAAATCGATAATTCGATAATATATGTATGTTTTTGCATCGTAGCTTATCAGTACTGACAAGATATTGATTTTTGATTTATACAATGAATACTTTTTTTTTAAGTAATTAGCTTTTAAAATTTTTATAAATGATAACATTTAAATTCATCATTAAAAAATTTATTCTGTTAAATTATTACTATACATATATGCGTTTGTGATTAGTGTCAAATGATAACATTTAAAAATTCATTTAAATTAGTTTTTCTCTTACTTAGTACATTTTATTTGTTGTGAATTTAAATTTTTACATTATATATATTTGCTATATTATAAAAAAAAATGAAACATTTTTAATCAAATAAAAAAAAACTTTTTTCTCGGATTTACTTATCATTCTCTTAAAAAAAAAAGTTGAAGAAGCATTAGGATATTTTTTTTTTAGCTGTTTATTTAGTGACAGAAGAAAAAGAAATTGCAATCGTTTATCGATTCCAATCAAATCGATTCTCGAATTATCGTTCTCGATCCAATCGTTTAGCTCAATCTGTCGAAGTATTTCACACCCTATTCATTCTTTCAGCTGTTCATCCATTTTTTCTTTTTTTTCTATTTTTAGTCTATTTACCAAAGTGTACAGTTAAAAGCTATCGCTAGTGCCTATTTGGCGCTGAATGAATTGTGTCGTAGTGATTTGTGATGATAATGATGATGATAATGATGATGATAATGATGATCTGGTAGTTCATCATTGTGATCTTAACTTTAATTCAGATGGCAGCCGACGTTTGCGCTGAGCAGGTAGTAAATTTTTCCTTTTTAGTTTGCTAGTTTGTTTGTTTATTTATTTTTTTTTCTTTTATCTTTTTTTCGAATAAATTTCGCAATAATTGTGAAATTCATTTATTTTTTACATTTAAATTTTAAAATTTTAGCCGAAATTTATTTCGTTATGCTTAACATAAAATTTAATGAATACTATTAATTAATGTTGTTTATCTTGTTAGCTTACTTTTTTCTGAACTTTTCAAGCTAAATTTTTATAAGCTTATTCATCTTTTCTCTTTTTTTTTTTTTTTTTTTTTATAGAACATTAATCAATCTCGAACTCTCTACTAATTTATAATTTACTCTCATCCATCTTTCAGATCTCAGAATTTTCATTAAAATGATTGTATTTCTTAAATAACAATTAAAAATTGCAATTAACTCGAAATAAATTGATAATTTTTTCATTTATTATAATATAAAACTTATTTTGCTTACTACGTTTAGGAAGTTTTTTTTTTTTTTGTAACTAAAAGATGAAATTTCAAGTTATGAAGATTAGCTTTTAGAGTAAACAGCCACTTTATAGTTTTTTTTTTTTTGCGTAAATGTTGCAAAGTCATTAAGACTAAAAAGTTATTCTTACTAAAAAAATCCATTAATTAAGAAAATTACAGTTTATAAATTTAGTAAGATTATAATTAATCTAATCAATAAAGGCATAAGTTTGAAATGTCGTAAATTGAAATGATAAAAACTCAATGATTCTATAACTGATGTGTTTTTATTTTTTTTTTTTTTTTTGATGTCACATTAGTGTCAAAGCAAAGTGAAACAGAAGTAAAAAATAAACTGCAAACTGAGAGATTTTTCCATCCTGAAAATAATTAATTGTTTGTGAAATATTCGAAAAAGCAAATTATATTTCTTCAAATAAAATAACCATTTACTGTTGCAATTATCAATTTAATTAATTGAATATTTTCAATATTTCCAGAACACTAAATTCAATAAAGTGAAAAGTTTATTTTATTTTTTTTTTTAGCTACCATCAACATCATATGCGACCACGGCGACAATTTCACCGTCCTCAAACACGTCAATCATGCAAGCTTCACAAGCAATAATCAAGGTAGCAACTTCTTCCACCACTCTTCTCCTCGGATCGTATCATATGAGTCAAAATACATCGCCAATCTCATTTAACAATCATCAGGTATGTATAGGTTAGGACACGTTGCGCAAACAAACAAAACAAACAAACAAAAGCGCAAACAAACAAAACAGCAAACAAACAACAGAGGGCAATAATTAAAAATTTTTTTTTAATCTTAAAAAACACTTTATAGATGAATTTATTCACTATTTGTTTGCTGTAAAATCTTAGTCTTATTAACAAAAATTGAATTAATTTAAGTTAAAGCCAACACTGAAAAAGAATTCAGTTTTCATAAATTAAGAAATTGAACCAGAAAAAAAAAAAGAATTAAAATCATAAATTAAGTTATCTGTATAAAACAGGATGATGAAAAAGCTGGAACAGCATTTGCAATATCATTATTACCACCTGAAATACATTTGCATATTTTGAAACATTTACCACGATACGATATTGATAATTGTCGATTTGTTTGCAAAAGATGGAAGGAAATGATCGATCGTAATAGTCATTCACTCAGGAAACATCTCATACAAATGCTCGAACTTCGAGAATATAAATCTCGATTCATCCTAACTTTAAAGTATATTTCATCTTTTACATATTAAATTCATTATTACACTGTATTTGAATAAAGATACAATTAAGTTTGAAAAAATTAAATTGTGCTTTTTAAATAATATATGTTTTACACATATAATATTTATTATTATGCTTTACTTCTTAAGTTAGCCCTTGATAATTAATTAAGAAAATTGAAATTAAATAAACCGCAAGGTACCACTAATAGTAAGTTTAAATAAATCAGACAATATGCACAACAAATTTAAAATTTCATTGTTGAAATGAATTGAATAGAAAGCTGATTTTGTTAAAATATAGTAACGTAGAAATTTTTTCATATTCTAAAAAATAAGACAAAAATTTGAATAGCTAGTTTCAATTTTAAATAATCAAATTCATTAATTAAAAGATGATACTCTGAATATTTAGCTAACTTGATTAGCTACTTTAAAATGTTTATTAATCTTATCTGAGTCTCTTTAGAACAATAGCTTAGATTAGTTGCTTCATTAATTAGGATGTGAAATTTTAAATAAATGACAATTAGATAACACTGTTTAACTGTTGTAGATACTATTCACTACAAATTCTTTTGTTTCCCTGTAATTTTACACCAATAAATTTTCCCTAAAAATCAACTTAAAATTTCAATCAATTAATGTCAGATTAATTTCTCTTTGTTCATCGAAATGCAAAATAAATTGTTAATAGTTAAGTTAGATGACATTTTGATAATTAATATCGTTGTAGCAAAAAAAAAAAAAAAATTATGCACAAATGCTAAACAAATGTAGAAATATTGAATTTATAGAAAGAAAGAAAGGAATGGAAGAAAGATATATTTAAAGAGAATTTAATTGATAGCTTTTCGAAACAACTGCGCCAATTTTAACTATGTGAATAGTAAGAGAATAATGATAAAGTGGTTGGGAAGTACAAAGGTAAATTGTAAGCATAGCAGAGAGATAGATTGGATTGTAAGCATAGCACAGAGGTAGGTATTTAATCAACCTTTTGCTTACCGTATTCTTGAACAGCTGTTTTAGTATGATATACACATGTAAATAACATCGATGAAATTAATTTAATAGCAATAATTTTAATTTTTTTTTGTTTAATTAATAAATTTTTTTCTGAAGAAAAAATGAGAAATACCTTAAGGCATTAATTAACACAACAAAGATGATCATATTCAAAACTTGCATAATTTAATTCATTATCTGATTCAATGTTAACTCATGATCTAATTTAAATTTTGTATCTAATTCAAAGTTTGTATAATTTAGTTTAAAGCTCACATTTTTTTTAAAGAGTTTGATCTAATTCAAAGTTATAAATCATTGATTCAGTAGAAATAATAACAAATACAATACTTTATAAATGGATAGGAAAAATTTAATCATAAATTGTAATTTGTTATTATCTAGTGATTAGATTAGTAAATTTCTGGATTAATAATTTTGTTAATATGAAAAATTAAATTTTAATTCACTAATTGTTAATAATATTTGAAAAAAATATGCGCTCAAAAAATATTATTAATACTTTTCCATTGCATAAACTTAGATATTAGATGTATTTAAAATAAAGAGAAATAAGGTAATACAATCAACTTTGTAAATTCTTTTAATTTATTTTACTTAAAATAAAATCATTCAAATGCATTTTCATAAGAAATATTTTAAATTATTATACAGAAATTTAAGAAATATTTTTAAATTATTATAAAAAAATTTTTTTCAGAAAAAAAAAAAAAATATAAGTTATATATATTTTTTTACAGTTGTTCAAATCTTCTAAAAAGTTGGACATTTTGCGAACATATTGCCACTCGTCCGTCTTTTGGCCTTGGAAAACGTCGACGTACGAAGACTTTAACAACACTTTGCAATAATGAAGAACAAGAACAACAAGAACAACAACAACAACAACAGCAACAACAACAACAACAACAACAACAACAACAACAACAACAACAACAACAACAACAACAGCAACAACAACAACAACAACAACAACAACAACAACAGCAACAACAACAACAACAACAACAACAACAACAGCAGCAGCAACAACAACAACAACAACAACAACAACAACAGCAACAGCAACAGCAACAGCAACAGCAACAACAACAACAACAACAACAACAACCATCTCCAGCAAAATTACCTCATTTACTCATTTATATGGGACAGACTTCATCGTCTAATTCTTATTTACCAGTCTTAGTGCCAAACCCATCAAATGATAGTAATTGGCATACGGAGGTTAGTGCAAATTTTAATTTTCCTTTCAATAACTCAATGAAATATCATTGCACTACAATTCCTTTTGGTAATATTTTAAGAATTTATTACATTAAAGTAATAATATAAAAATTTTCATTTATTAATAAATATTAATTTTTTATTCAGTATTTCAACATTTTAGAATCTCTTAAAGCATAAATATGCTAATATAATTCAAAAAAAAAAGAAGAAAAAATGATTGTTATAAAGAATATACAAATAATTTACATATTTTTTTATATCATAAATATTACGCATATTTATCATTAATGCAAAAGAATTATTAATAATATTTTTCGAAAAAAAAAAGGCAAAAAAGAGCAAAATTAATAAATGCGATACTTATTAGAATTAAATTTTTGGTTTAATCATTTAATTTTTGAAATTTATTAATTAATATCTAACTGTAAAAATTATTGCCAATTGTGCAAAACTTTTTATTATTAATATTTACATTTTAAAAAATTTGTGACTAAAAAATGTGTTAATATAATATTTTATTCAATATATAAATTTAAATGGAATTTTTCAATTTCACTGTCTAAAAATGTGAAATAAACTTTGATATTATGAACTTTCTGCATTAAAATTTATTTATATGTTTTTTTAAGTTCCAATACAAATTGAATAAAATTAGATATACAATAAATTTTTGCTGAATTGAACTGTTACTAACATTTAATACTTATCGATTTTGAAATTTACTTTTATATCAATTCCTAAAATACGAAGTATACATGTTTGAAAGTTCAATAAATAGAAATTCTTAATTTTATTATTAAAAATAAGGAATGAAACTTTTAAATATATGTTTAAATTTAATGTCTAAAACATATGTTTAATTTGTTTGATCTAAAAGTTTTCATTTTTTTTTTTTTATGTTAAATGAAATAAAATAGTTACTACTAAAATTATTTCAAATTTATAGGATCACAATGAGCGAAAACAACGAGAACATACGCCATCGCAATTATTATGCGAACGATTAGCGAAATATTTTCGTGAAACGGATATTCATTTCTTAAGATTAACTGAACTACGATTTACGGATAATTTCATTGACCGACTTTTAGAAACTTTTGGAACATGTAAAATACGATGTAAAAAAGTGGAAATAAGTATGTGTAAGCTAAATTATGTGTCACCAAAAAAGTAAGTTTTTAGTTTTTTTTTTTGCTTATTACTACTTTTTAGTATTAAAAAAAGTTCTCAAAATATTAAATAGAAAAAAATATATGCTCAAATTTAAGTTTCCATGCATAATACACATGTTTTTAGTATAAAAATTTCGAGTTAATCATTACTTTTACAATTTCTTTATGCCAAATTAATAATTAGTTTAAATTTATTACATTCATTCAATTTAGAATATATACAAATAGAATTTTTGTATTATTACTGTGCAAGAAAAAGAGACTTATTAAAAAAAAATATTGAGCATAAAATAATTATTCGATTAATTAAATATGTATTAAAAATATTATGAGTAATTAGTTGCTAAATTACTAGTAATAACTCAATGAAATACTCGAATTATTATTTTTTTTTAATTTGTTTAATCTAAATTCTAATAAATTTTAGATTCCATCAATTTCTTCAATTAATTGAATGTGATAAATTATCACTTATTTGGTTACGCGGTAATCATGAACATATAAACAATTCTCAACAATTTCTTTCTGAATTTCTTGGCCTCAGCTTTTTGAGTATTTTTGCGCTTACCCCACAAATAGCTATCGGTGACGATGAATTCTTGGCTAAATTTTTGGAAGGTAAAGCGACGAAATATTTGGAAGAAACAATACTTCGAATAGACAACAGCTTAATCACTACAAATGGATTCTGTCAAGCAATTGATGTCAGTGAAATTGACACTTATTAATTACTAAAAGTAGTCAAAATTTATTTACTTTAATGAAATAATTTTCAAAAAAAAAAAATTATGCATAAATTTTAATTTTGTAAGAATTAATATGAATAATAAATTATTGCTAAAAGACTTCAAATGTTTAATTTCCATCTGTTGCTTTTATAACAGTTAAAAATTGCACATTATTTTATTTTATAAAATATTTTTTTAAATTATTTTATGAAAATTTCAAATTATTCAATCACACTTTTTCCGATTTTTTTTTTATATTTATACTTTTTCTAACCAAAAATAAAGAAAAAAAAAATCAAAAAAAAATTTTTTTTCCGATTAAAATAATTTGAAAAATTAAAAGACAAGAAAAAAAAAAGATAATTTGAAACTTTTGATTAGTATATTTTATTAAAATATATTAATTACAGTGTCATTCATTCCATATTTCCACCTATTTTCATACATTTATTTATACATTTATGAAATTATTACGTATTTATTATGCATAAAGTAAATTACATTTTTCTTAAAAAAGTTAAATTAAATTCAAAATTTTTTCATTTTTTTGAGAAATTTCACAGATATTTATTAATTCAAATTTTAGAAATGGAAACAGACTAATACACATTGGATTTTGAATATTTGCATTGGTTCAGAATACATTATTATTGATGAAATTTTGAAACATTTATCATTGAATGAAAGTAAGCCACGGCAAGGTGCATTCCGGATAACTCATCCACAATTACCGGATGAAACACTTTTGCTGTGGAACGATAAGGATGGTGTACATATAGCTAGCAATGCAAATTCAGTTTCCGGATTGTAAAAAATTTTAATTAGCAATAAAGATTCACTTTCCTGATTAACTCTAGCAATGAAAATTCAGTTTACTAATTATAAAAACTTATTGAATGATACTATTTCGAATTATTTCATTTCAGCAATATGAAATTTATAATTTCTGTAATTGGTTGTTGTTATTGTTGCTTTTTTTTCAAAAAAAAAGTTTTTAGAATTTATTATTTTAGAAAATAACGAAATAAAATAAATAAGTGAAATAAATTTTTTATTTATTTTTTGGACTTTAATTTTAGGTAATTAGGTACCAAAATTTTAGGATACATTCAATAATTAACCTTTAATAAAATATTTTTAAGTCATACATTCTTTAGCCTTTAAAATTTTGGTCTTTCACTTTCAATCTTAAACAATAATTAAACAAAATAAATATAAAAGCTACTAAGTTGATCAAAAAAACAAACATAAAACGCTAAACAAATTAATTTCTGAAATAGTTCTGATGGAAAGACTAAAATATTCAAAGTATTATTTTACATTTTAATTTGCTTTTCATCTAAAAATAATAACTAATAAATAAAGTAATGTAATGATTTAGGAAGTTAGCGATAATAATATATTTAAGTTGTTTACATAAATAAAAATTAAATTAATTTTCGTTTTTTTTTTTTTTGTTCATTATCGCTCATTTGTTGTTCATTCATTCGTTGATTAAAGATTGTATTTGTTTATTGCCAATTGATTGATTAATTTATTGATCAATATGTGATCTTTCGATCAGTCTAAACTAACATATATTTTTCATTTCATTGAAAAACAGATATGTTATGTCTCTAATTAATATGTCAAATAACATTTTTGATGTATTACTGTGAAAACCTAATACAATTGTGATTAGGTAATCTTCACTTTTCGATCTTATCATTATTGTTATTATTACTCTTATCATTGTTGTCAGAAGTGTTACTACGAAGATTTGATGAATGAATGATTTAATATACATATTTTATTAAAACTTATTAAATTTCACTGTTTGAATACTAGCTTAAAATTTTAAAAACGAAAAAAGATTCAATACCAAGTGGCTTTTGAAATTTTTATCGAATTAAAGTTTCAAAAACTATTCATTTCAAAAGATTCCCAATTATTAATTTTGCATTCATTCATTCATTCTTTTATATTTCTCCATTTTATTGTAAATTTTTTATTTTTCAAAAAAAAAAAAACGAAAAAATTCTTTAAAATAACTTCAAAAGTTTATAGAATGTTTAATTTAAATTCGCTTCACATCAATAAATTTTAATTATAGAATTATATTAAATTTTTAAAAAATTTAATATAATAAATTGAAATGATTAATAATTTAAATGGCAATGCAATATGAAGTGGAAATGAATTATTTTTACATATCAAATGTTACATTTCTCTCTCTCTCTCTTTCTCTCTCTCTTTCTCTTTCTCTTTCTCTTTCTCTCTCTCTTTTTTTACCTCCCAAATATCGCACTTATTTGGTTTTGAATGAATTTACTTTACAATTCTGAAAATGATACATACATTTTACATTGATTAATCGAAATTTAATAACTCGAATTGCTTTCTTTTATTTTATATTTTTATTCGATTATTAAGCACAAAACAAAAAACACATAAACTAACACATATAAATCAAATGTTAAAATTTATTGAAAAAATTTTAATTTGTTGAAATCATTGTATATTGAAATTATTAAAATAAGTATTCTCATTAAAAAAAAAAAAAAAAAAAAAAAAAAACACAAAATTCTAATCTATTTGTGCTCCTTGCAACAATTAAATTCAAACCAATTATTTCATTATTCGAACAAAAAAAAGGAAAAAAAAAACGGAAATATGGATAAAAATGCAATTTTCATTTGTTATTTTATCAAACATTGCAAAATTATCAAATGACAATTTTTTTCTTCAAAATTATTTCAATTTCTTTAAATAATCACTCAGTTATGTTTGTAAACACAAACATTAATATCAATGACAATTTCATTTGATTATATTTCGTGAAAAAATTCAAACTAAATTTCCAAATTGTTAACATTTGTTCTTCGATAAATGAAACAAAAACAAAAAAAAACAAAAAAATGACATTTATTTTTTCTTTTCCGTCAGCAAATTTTATTACAATGCTTTTAGAAAGATAAAAATTTCTTGAAATTTCTTAAATTTAAAACGAAAAAAACGAGTTTCCTGCTATCAGCTAAATAGCTATGATCAATAATATTTTAACTGATATTAAGCATTGTTTTGTTTTTCATTTTAATATATTCATTAAATTTATTTTAACTCAGTTTAATCTTATTAACTTTCAGTTTAGCTCTTTCTGCTTGAAACGATTAGCTAAACTTCTTCAATCGATAATTTCTTTTTTATTTAGTATTAAAAATTAAATTTCAACATTTATACATCAAAAAAGTTGTAATAATTTATATAATAAGCAATTCTAAAACTAAACAATAATTAAATTCATGATTTTTCTCTAAAAAGTTTCAATTTAGCTCATTGAATTCAGTTTAACTCATTTTCAGTTTATTTTTTCTAATCTAGTTTTTTTTTCTACTCTGTAAAGTCCATTATAACTTTATTTTTGTAGAAAAAAAAATTGTGACATAACCTTGTTGATAGATTGTTTGTTGTGGATGACATTTATTGACAAATAAGCCATCACATAGTGTTTTGTGACATTTCGGGGACAATTCTATTACTAAAATAATTTTAAAGTAAATGTGAAGGAGAATTTGCAACCAAAATATGAAAAAAGTATGCTAAGTGTATAAATTATTCCTTTATTATTTTCCTAACTAATTAATTAATTTTGCTATTTGCTTACACTAATAAATTATTGATTAAACTTTATTTGCTCAATTAATTAATTAATGATATAAAAGATTTATTTGCTTATTCGTTTGTATTAATTGTTATATTATTGCTGTTTTTTTAAGGGAAACTATGTGTTGCAAAAAAAAAAAAAGAATAATTTGTTCGTCTCAGACAGTACTAAATAGTTTCAGTGACTTTTTTTGAAGTATATTTAAAAATATTCTCACGATATTATATCAGATAATGCTTATCATTTTGCTAGTTTGATACAGTAATTTTTAACAATTAGAAATGAAAAAGGGAAGTATCTTTTTCTTTTTTTAGCTCAAATGTAGAAGTAAATTAGAATGTTTTAAATGGAATTATTTAAATGTTAATTCTGTAAAAATTAATATTTAAATTTAGAATTTAGATATTACAAATTTTTAGTCACAGTGTTTAATTACGACTATTAACTCGAATACATTAAGTACACCAATATTGTCGTTTTTTTTTTTCTAAATCTAATAACTTACTCATACAATCAGTAAGTTACTTTTTTGGATTGTCATTAAAGAAAGTAAATTTTAGTATTGCTATAATAACTTTATTTAAATTTCATCCATTAATTTGAAAGAAGAAAGAGAGAGTGGATAAGCAATTATAAAAAGAATTAAAATTCAATCTTTATGCATTTCAAGATATCATTTGAAATTGTTCGTTGTTCAATTTGATGATATCATTTACAATTATCACAAATCAAGAGAATCATTTAATTAAAGGATCATTTTGTGAAGAGGAATTTCCTTCACTACTCTTATCATCACTATCAGTTGAATGATCAGAATTCTATTGACGTATTCAAGAGCGCACAATAATTCTCGTCGCTGATTTTTTTTTTTTACTTTTTTTAAGCTACGATAGATTTGTTCTTTTTCTTGCAAACAAAAAAGGAGAGAGAGAGGGGGAGAAGGGGAGAGGAAGAGAGAGAGAGAAATTCCAATTTATCGAATCGAAATCAAATAAAATTTTAAACTCATAAAAATTAACTCTTTAAAATTTCGATTGTGATATAAGGAACTTTGTCAATGATACATAATATAACAAATCCAAAAGGTTTACCTTTTTTTTTGTTTTCATATTAAATAGAATGAAATTACCTATTCAAGGAATGCATTTCCTTTGTTTGTATTATGTAAAATATGAATTTTTTGCTTGAAGGATAAATAATGCATTGTTTACCGTTTAGTATGATTATTCGTTAACAAAAATTTTCTTAGATTAACCAAAAATTTTCACATTTTCCTTTCAGATTTCAAAAAATATTTTTTTTTGCAACATAAGAAGCTCTAATTGATTTAGATAAATTTACGTGATACGTGATACGTGATATATCCTTCAAGTGATACTTTATGCATTTTCACAATTTCCTGATATGCTTAACAAATTTTAAATTATATTTCCAATCTTTAATAAGGCTTTTTCTTAGTGCAAACAATTTAACAGCAACATTTCTTACATAATAGTCGAGAAGTTTCAATTATGGATTAATCTTTCAAAATCTCTTAATAAATAAGCCCAACATATTTGTTTTCTTTTTAGCAACAAAAATAACTGTATGCTATATAGCTGTTAGCTGTTAGCTGCTATTTACTGAGCTAATCACAATTGCTAAAAAATAATCTTTTAAGTTTTCACTCAAAAAGAATGCCAAATTAGAACGAAACAAAAGTCAATCACATATGCATCAAAATACTTTGATTCGGTACTTTAGTTGAATTTGTTGAATTTATAAGAAAATATATTAAATTAATGCAAAAGAAGTGTTATTCAAATGCTATACTTACTGCATCGCTTTTTTGTTTTTATATTTGGCAAAGATAAATTAATAAATTAATAAGTCCTCACTTAAGCTATTAATTCCATTAAATATAATACATTTGAATCATTTCTATCAGAGTAGCATTACTACTATCTGATAAGCTGATAAAAATGAAGACAAGAATGTGTAAAATTATCAAAAGTATAAATATAACACTTCAATTGTATTATTAACAATAACTTTGAACTTGGCTCGTTCTGTTTAATTTTATTGAATAAAAGGCAGCCTAGACTGGCTCACCCTAATCCTATTAGTTAAAAAAGCAGCCCAATCTAGACCAGACTTCTCTAATTTTATTAATAACTGAGCTATGCATAGCCATTTTACAATTTAGACTAGGCTTCTCTAATCACATCTGTATAAAATAGCCTAGACCAAAGTCATTAAAACTTATGTATAATCGTTTTCATAACAACCACAGGCACTTTTTGCTTTTTGGTTTCAGAGAAAAAAAAGAAAATAAAAGAAAAATCTCTCATTCAACAACTATTACAGATAGACGCAAAAAACAAAAGCGCAATAGTTGCACACAAATCGTTGGTGCAAATGTCGCGTTGAATACGATAATCTGTGCATTTTCATTCGATCCGATTAAAACGACAAAGTTGAATTATGGAAGGTTGCTACTTTTTCACTAAGAAAATATTGTATATACACTAAGCCAAACATGAATCTTCTTTAGATGAACTTTAACCTTTTGTTAGCCATTGAAATATTTTAGCAAAATACAACTTAATTAATTTTATGAAATTTGATAATTTATTTGCTAAATTTTGCAATTATCTAATAAAATTACCCAAACCCTAATTGCAATATAAACATTTCTCTGCGTCTTAACCACTGCACTCACTTGCTCTCTAATTCTTTTATCACAATCTAATCATTGCAACCGATACTATCTCTTTTCATTTTTATCAATCTTTCATCTCTCTTCAACCATTCACACTATTTCTCTCTCTATCACTACCCAAATTTTGTGATGCAACAGAAGCTAAACATATTATCTCACTAATTCCACCTGTGTCTATTCCTCTCTTCCATATATATATATGTTTCTTGATTTCTCTTATATCCTAATCCAGACAATCTCTAATTCTTTTCCATATACCTTCTCTCGTTTTATTTAACATTCCGAAGAAATTCTATCAGCACGGGCAACCATAAATTCAATATCTTTGGCTTTTTTTTTTTAAATTTAAACCTGGCGATTACCCTTTTAGGTTTATTCGAATAATTAAATGTAACAGAAAAGAGAGGAAAAAACAGAGAATACAAGGGAATATATTATTCTATAAAACAAATATATATATTTGTTTAAATTGTCTCAAATTCAAAATTAATTTTTTTAATGGTAGCCAATAAAATGGTTTAGAAGAAATGTTCATACTTTGAATATTTAATTTAAAGAAAAAAGGGAAAAACTGAAATAGTTTGTGTAAGATTATTACTAATATTAGAAAAAACAAAAAAAAAAATTATTAACATATAAGCTAAATTAGTGATTTCAATAATGAAAAATATTGAAAATAATAGCAAAAATTAAATTAAAATCCTAATTCCTAATAAAAAAAAAACGGTGTAAAGCATTGTTATTTCATTGTTATGAGAGAAGAAAAAAGAAGAAAAAGATAAATAATTTTGGAATAAATTAATTGAAGTAAAACTTCATAGTATCTTTTATTAAAAAATGATAATATTCTGAAGCAATGAATTCTGAAGTAATCCATTTTAGCAATTCAATTGAATTAATTCAATAAGGAAATAATCCGAAATGATATTCTTAAGTTTATGAAATGAAATGATAAACAAACTATTTCATTGCTATTAATGCCATTTGCATTCATTGATATAAACATATTTTCAAATTACAATTATTCATAGTATCAGAACGAAAACTAATTGTTAAACTTTATGATATGATTATGATTAATTGATCAAAAAGAGCCTAGCAAATAGCAAAAAAATGAAAGAAAAAAAAACAATGAATTTTATCAAAGCAAAAATTTAGCTTTGCCATATAATTAATTTAATACAAGTAAATTTTTCAGGACAAATTAATTGATATTTGAAAAAAAAAAGTGAATTTGGATTAAAAAATCAATTCATAAATTCTATGATTGTATGATAGTCTTGGCCTGAAAACAAAATATACTGAAATTAAAAACATTCCACCATTCCATTGTTTATATAAATCTAATAAATATTTTTTAGTCGATATTTTTTCCTCTCTTTTTGATCTAAGAAAATTGTAATCTAAAAAAATTAGTAGTAATACTATTAAAATGAATCAGTGGAGAATTTCGAATGGATAATTGAATTTTTCCAGCAAATTAAATTCTCTCAAATTTTCAATGTAAGAACGAAAAAGTGAAAAAGTATTCGAAATATGCAAATATTCAATTATTGTCACAAATAAATGAAAATAATGAATGTTGCATGCAAAGAAGTACACATATTTATTCATTTATTATGCCTTTCGTTTCAATTTATAATTTAATTAATTTATTTGACAACAACAAAAAAAAACTTTTATTAATGATTATACGCCGACAACTGTAAATTTAAGAAGAAAAATTAAAAAAAGAAAAAATCTTCTTTCTTCGCGATGTTTACTCAACATTTCTCGACTTCAATTAATGCATTTAACCATGCCTGTTTGCGTGCATGCATGCATGCATTTATGTAGGAATCATTTCGCGTTCCTCATCCTGAAATAAACATTTTTGGGAAAAAAAAATCGAAATTATTTGTTCAAATATAAATATAAGTTTTTGTTCAAAAAGAAAAAGTATTTTTAATCTCTTTTTTTGATACTTTAAAATAAATTTGTGTCAATAATTTTAGAATAATTATCAAAGATTTTGTTTTTGAAAATCGAAATTAAATAATTTCACTTATATTTAACAAAGTATATTAAAATGAATGGCCAAACAATTTGCTTTAACAAAAATAATAAATAAAAATGATTGATCATTGATCTACTGAAATAGACTTCTAATTCTCTCTTTCTCCCCTCACTCATGTAATTTCTCATAATGTATCTGCTAGAATTACATTTTCTTCCACCACAAAAGATTTATGGTATTCTCTTTCTTTCTTTCTTTCTCTCTCTCTCTCTCTCTCTCTCTCTCTCTCAATAACTCCTGATAATTATTTAAATACAATAATCAGTGATATTATAATATACTTTCCCTAAGATAGGCTCTGGTTAATACCTCTAGCACATCATAATTATTATATTTTAATAAAAACGAAAAATTTTAAAATCAAACCGGAAATATAGTTTCCAAATTTAAGACACCAATATCAAACACTTTCTTAGCTGTTTTACCTTCGCTAATATAACTGGATGGAATTTTAAATTTTAATTTTCGTTGTCCCAGCTAGAAAAAAAATAATGTAAAAATGAATAAATTGATGAAAAAGTAGAACAAAGAACTTTGATTATAATTTATTAAAATTACAACATTCGATTTACTATTGATGTTGCCATTTTCTTTTTTACTTACAAATAATATATCATAAATTTGAATTAATAATTAAAATCAAAAAAAAAAATAGATAACCTTTAGATTATCATCGCAATCATGGTATACTTTAAATACTGGATCAATTGTAGTTAATTCAGCAGTATCACCTTTCAGCATAAACATACCTTGATCATCAGTATATCCCTGAGCTAGAAGGTCATCCGGATCAGGCCCTACAAAAAAAAAGATAAAAAAATTATTCCGAAATTTATACATATTTTTTAATTTTTATAAATGAAAAAATTAAATATTTAAATTGCAACCAAGTCAGATTTATTATTCCAAATTTTAAAAAATTTAAAAAAAAATCTGGTTTAATAGAATAACCGGAATCTTCTTCCCAAAGTTTCACTCGAACATTTCGTGCAGGAGCATTACCACACAATAGTTTACCTTTGACCGCAACAGCTTGTTGTCTCAATGCTGTTGAAAATGTCACAACGCCAAGTATTAGAAAAAGTAACCAAAAATGCATCCTAAAAACAGCCAATCCGGAATTTATCCGGAGCAACAGGATTATTCATAGTGTTTCGAGAAATATATCTATTTTCTAAGCTATTTTCTACCATAATTATTTCCGGATGAGGAGGTATGAGAACATGAAAGTTATATAAGCTATTTGTATTAGTGATTTATTATAATGAAACGTTTCCGAATATTCATTTATAATAAAATCTTCACCAAATGATCCGGAATTGCCGGATCATTCTAAATCTTACCATAAATATGTCGTTACCTGAAACTTCTGATAAGGTAATTATATTTAAATAAATTAGAATAATTTAGTTTGTTTTTTCTTAAATGATTCGAATAAAATTGAATAATACAAAAAGTAATAATATCAAAATAATTAGAATAAATAGTGATTTCATCTTTAATATTAATAAAATTAAGATCAAAAATGAATCAATGTGATAAATTAGCACAATAAATTATCAAAATTTAAAGTAACTGAATAATTTTTAATAATTTTAATTTGATAATATTAGAAAATCAAATGATAATAGCAATTAAATAAAAATTTATTGTGTAAGCGAGGATTAGAATTGAAGTTTAGCAAGGAAATATCAGATGTCATTGACATATCTAATAAACAATTGCTTTGTTTACAAATCTATCCAATATATTTTATTGAAGAACTGGATAATCAGATAACTTGTTAGAAACAATTTTGAAAATAAGTTCTTGTTTCGATATTTCATAATTCAGTAATTTTGATGCCAAAGTTTATTTATATGAAATATAAATAAATAAATTTATAGTTTAAACATGTATAATGTAATAATATGGATAAAAAAAAACTTTTTAATACAATAAAATATTGAAACATTAAATCTATGATTAATTTAATTATCAAAACTTGTCTTAAGTGATCGAAAAAAAAATTTGTTTAAAAGTTAAACTACGTCTTCAAGCAAAAAACGAAAGCAAAAACCATAAAATTTAATTATGTGCTTAAAAAAATCAAAGATTATTGATGAAAAATCAAATTATAAAAACGAATTTAATTATTAGTAAATAAAATGAATAAGTTGTGATACATTAAATTATTAAATATTAAATACCGAACAAAAAAAAAGAAAAGAAATACACATAGAAATATGAAAATTTTATCGTACTAAAAATATATACAATTTCTATAATTGTCTTTGTTTTGGAAATAATCAGAATTATTTCAATTCATCATAATCCCTTTAACATTACTATATTGCGTCATCTCTTACGTGTACTTTCATATTAGGTCACGTTCCTCTTTTGGGAATATTGTCTCCAAATTCAGTACACCAACGTCAAATGCTTTCTTTGCAGTCGAACCGCCAGAAATATATTGTTTTGGTATACGTAGCTTAATCTTTCTTTTGCCAGGCTAAAATTTAAATTTTAAAAAATCACTGTAACAATTATTTGTAAATTAAATTCCAATACTGAAGTATCAAAGGAAAAGAAAATCTAATTAATACTAGAATCTTTGACTATTGATTAACAGATATTTGGTTAAAAATTAAATTTAATAGCATTTATTTTTGCCTTTCTATTTTCTTTCTTTTTTTATTTTGCATAGAATATTTAAAATGTATCAAATATATTTGTATGAAATTGCTTACTTTAATGCCATCATCACAATCATGATAAATTTTAAGTACTGGATCAATACTCGTTAATTCTCGGGTACTACCTTCAAGATTAAAATTACCATTCCTATCTGTTTCACCTTCATCCAATACATCATCCGGATCCGGTCCTAAAATTTATCCATTACTTAATACAATAATTCTCAACCGAAATATCACTAACTAATTATAATTAGAATCAAAACTAAAATTACCTTCAAGTAATAAAATTACCAAAATTTGCCTTAAATGATCGTGTACTAAAATTTGCTTCACCATTTATTTTGTAGCATTATTTTATCTTAGAAATTTAAAATAATTCAATGAAAAGTTCAAACCATCATCTTCATCCCACAGTTTAACCTTAACACCTGATGCTGGCTTATCACCACACTTTAATTGACCTTTAACCCGCACAGCTTGAAGTCGCATCCCATTACTAATACTAAGTATTGTTAGAAATAAAAATAGTACAGCTTTCATCTATAAAAATTTCTTTAAATAATAACAATTTATAAAGAAGTACAACATGAAACTATTCGTATGTTCAAAAAAAAAAACAACGCAATCTAAAGTTAGTTACGTGTTATCCGTCAAATAAGTATCATATAACAATAATATCATATATGTAACAATAATAATAGGAAATAAAAATTGAAATTATTAAATCAAAAAAAGAAAAAAAAATTAGAACATATTTTGGTTAAATTTCGTTAGGATGATTCATCAATATATAACTGACAAATTCAGTTGGAAATAATGTTACTAAATAAGAAATATTTAACAATTGTGATTGAAATTTCACTGTTACAAATTAATATTTGCTATTGCTCATAGATTAATAATAATAGTCAAATTATTTATCAAAATAAATTATTTAAAATACATAAGGCAAAATTTAGATGTAATCATTTTAAAATTAATTAATGAAAAGATACGTAAGCAACGAGTAGCCTAAGTTGAAAACAAACCCATCTATTTGTCTATCGTAATTCAAACATTGCTTTGATTAACAACAATTATTCAATTACAATCGACTGATGAAGAAAAAAAAAAAAACTTTAAACAAGAAAATTCAAAGTGAACAAAGATCGAAATAAAGTTTTAGCAAAAGGCTTCGATTTCGTTGATGGTAATTGATAATGGTGATAAGTTTGTTGTTTGAAAATTTCATTTATCTTTTTTATCTTCTATTTTTTTTAAAAAAAAAAGAAAAAATGTAAATCAAAGAATGCATAGTTTGTTAGCTCTTTTTCTCTTTTTTTTTTTGCCAAAAGATAACAAAACATTTGTTATCAATAAATCTTGCGTGATTAAAGGAAAGATTGTTTGCATCAATTCAATTCAAATAAATCTTTTCCATCTTCTTCTTTCCTATTATCACATAAAAATAAGCGTTAGTAAATAACATAGAATAAAATTTGAAAAGTATTAAGCATATTTTATTCAATTTCTAATTTAGGTTTATATATATTTGATATTTTATATTTTACTTTAAAATTTATTATCTATTTTAGGTTAACATTTAAAAATTAAAGGAATATACGAATGAATAAATAAAGAACTAAAAGGAAAAAATGGTAACAAACGACTATAAAAAAAGGTTATAAAAAGTAGTAGTGGCAATTGAAAGTAGCAAAAGTATGATAAAAGATAAAAATATTGATTGATTGATCGATTTATTGATTAATTAATTAGGATATACATAATATTAGAACATTGATCCCTTAAAACACATTCTGTTTAAACTGATTCTTCCAAACATATCTAAAATACGATACATTGATTGTTTTACTTCGATTCATCGACACAAAATGTAATTAAATATACAAATATTGATTGACTCCTCAAAGTATATTACAATTAAATACCAAAATATTTATTAATTACATATTTAATAGCAATGATCTCATTAATTCTTCAAGATGTCAATTTTGACTAATTAATATTTCTATATAATTGGAAAATGATTAAAATTGTGCATAAAAAGACAGTACAGATAGTTTTTTAATTCAAAAAAGAGAAGGAAAATGAGAAATTTTGCATAAATAAATATTTTAATTATTTATAATTAAAGTTATTAAATTAACTTGAGTAAAAAATTATTTTATAATTAAAAAATTTTCGACACATCACGAAAAATGTATTTAATATTTAAAATAAACAGTTGGATCATCATTTAAGATGATCAAAATAATGCATTAAATTAATTAAATTATTAAAATCTTATTTTTTTAATGAAATGATTATACTGAAGAGAAAAAAGGTTTTAAATAATTGGGCGGTAAGGGCTTCTTTCATAGAATGGCGGAAATTATAACAAGTAAATAACAATATGGGAAATATTCTTTTCAATCGTTAACAATTGAGGAAAGTATTACAAAATTACTTCTATTGGAGGGCAAATATTAAGAAGAAAGGGTCACAGTTAATTCAATAAGCCATCCACTATTGAAAGAAAAGGTAGTAGTAGTAGTGGTGGTAGTACTCAAGAAATTTAGCTCATTGTATGACCTTTACAAAGGATTGAATTGGACAGGGACAGATGTGATTGTCTCTCTCTTTGTGATGGATTCAATGTGATTCAGAAAGGATAAACAAAGAATTGGTAAGTAAGATTAACTGTGTAATGCAGGACAGGGAGCTTTATATTTTGAATATTTCAGTTAATTATAGTTAGTAGTTGCAATAAAAAATATATTTGAAATAAAAAAAGAATTGCATTTATAGCTTTCCGATATTGATTGCGGTAATTTATGTTTGCTCTGCTTGTCGCTTTTATGACATTTGCGCTATTACAGTAACACAATTACTTTTTTAACTGGTAACATAATTACTCTTTAACTGGTAACATAATTACTCTTTACCGGTCATCAAAATTTTACTAGACGCAATATTTCAGCAATATTTCAGCATTCAAATTATTATTATGAGTTACAAAATGAGTTTTTTTAAACGCTTATCCTATAAATAAAACGTATTTGACATAAAATATGAAATAACAAAATTCACTACAAAGTACTGTCAAATAAATAATTTAGATTAAAGAAAAAAACCTATTTTTAATCAAGAATTTCGCAAAATTCAAGATTTAATTATGTAAATTTTGAAACGAAGTATATTAATTAATAATATTACGATAGGTTATAATGTTTATTATATTCAGCAAACTTATTTAATATTAAAATAATGAATGCTTATACAGTCGCTGATTTTGATATGTAATGTGAATTTTTAAATTTCACGGATCATAAAAAGTCGTAATTTATCCAAAAACAGTGCTAATTTATAGTAGATTAAAATTTATTCAAAAATATTAATAAAAGTGTAATTTGTTAGGAAATAACAATAAATAATAATAAACTGTAATTTGCCTAAGAACAATAAATTAATTTAAAAAAAGTATAATTTAACTACGAATTATGCTGAAAATTGGTTATGTCTATACTTTCGCTTTTCTTCATTAAGCTTTTATAATTTTATTTGAAGTTATTTGGTTATATTATAAGAGATGAATAAAAATTAGTAAATTCTTAGTAAAAAAAATTCAAATAAATATCAAAACATATTTAAAATTAGAACTAACCAGACATGAAATACTTAAAGAGCATTTTTTAACATATTTAAGCACTAAATTATTTTATTAATTTCTAATTTTAATACTAAAAAAGAAGAAGAAAAAAAAAACGAATACATTGACTGGTTAAAAAAAAAAAATTAGTAAAAATTAAAAGAATTAGTTAAAAAAAAAATAAGAACTAAAAATTTTCTAAAAAAAATTTCAAAAAGCTAACACAAAATTTAAACTAATTAGTATCGATAAATGGTTCATCACGGGCAAAGTAATCTTTCCAATCCATTGGATTATATCCTAATTCTTCCGCTTTTTGTTTACAACGTGGCGGTGCCATCATTTCATCTTGCATTTGAATAGCTCGTTGACGTTCCCATCGATATGTCATCTGATGCAAACGAAAATTCAAATATTTCATTAATTTTAATGAAACAAAAAGGACAAAAAAAAAAAGTGAAATGGAATTGAATTGAAATTTAAGTCATTTCAATCAAATTAAAAAAAGAGAAAAAGCAATGAATAATAAATGATTTTTATATAAAAATTTTGATGCAATATTTCTGTCATTAAAATAATGTGTGTCAATCATATAATATATGCTAATGCAGCTAAGCATGAGAAATTATAATTTCAAATTAAATGTGCTAACATAATCGAATACAATCGTTGATACAGTCAATAGGAAACCAAATATGAATATAAAAATGCTAATTGTTATAGCAATAATCTGCAACATATTAGTAATGAAAGTATACGTTTCTTATTTCACACAAAGAATTAGTAAAAATAATAGCATTAGCAATGACAGTAACAATAAACAATAAAGACAAACAGCATACAGCAAGCAACAGCAATAAACAACAAAAAGAAACAAAAAGCGATAACGAGAAAAAATAGCAATACGGAACAGCAAAAACAACAAGGAGCAACAAGAACAATAACGACAAGGAGTAACAAGAACAACAACAATAAGGAGCAACAGGAACAACAACAATAAGGAGCAACAAGAACAACAATAAGGAACAATAACTGTTTCCAAAAAGGCACCAAATAATTATTTGTAACTTTCTTTCAATAATTAATAATACACTAATTATAGCATATTAATTTCATAAGGACAACTATAAGCTATTGAATTAATTTAAATTAATTAAGCATATTGATAAGAATAATAACACAAAACACAGTGATAAGATTGAAAGAAATATACTGATAAGATGATAAGAATTAATAATAACACAAATACAATTTCAAATATTTTTTGCAGAAAATACAAGAAAAAAAAGTTGAAATTAATTTCATTTATAACCAAAAAATTATGTATTGAAAAAAAATTTAATTTAACACTAAAACTTTTCAAGCTTTATAATGAATAAAATATTAATTATCACGGTTTAATTTACAGTTAAATTATAGTTTTGTAACTTTTTCCATCGAATTACCATTAATCTTAAAGATTAATAAAAATTTATTATCAATTTAAATTTTAATAAATCTGAACTATTTTAAAAATTATATTTATCATTTATATGTATGATAATCCAACTTATATCTCTTCGTTAGACAAAGATAGCTAAATTGATGTTATCAGTGTTAGACAAGTTGCATGCAGTAGGTTATATTTTAATATTGAATAAGCATTATCTAAGGAAATAACACACAAGCAATAGCCATAAAAAGTAACCAAAAAAGTTTTTTGTCAAATTTCAAAAAATTTTTTTTCAAAAGATGACTCATTTCTGGTGAGTCACCAAATAAAAAAAATAAATTCTAAATTATTAAAAGAAAAAATATTGGAATGTCTTTTTTTTGCATCACTTATTCAAAAAATACAAATTTTCACTTAGCTATTCATTTATTTTTAAATATCAAAAGATACGCACATGCGTGACTCATGAAAATATTGTCATCAATTTTCAGATTTTCTTTTTTGATTTTAAATTTTACAAGGCGAAAAATTTGTTCAAAAAATTAAATTCTAAATATTGACTATTCAATACGAATTTTTGAAAATTTCAGTACATCCCAATTTACAATTTGCAACCTTTCTTCATAGCATTTAAATCAAAAAGGCGCAAATTTTATCATTTCTTAGACAAATGCTAAAAAAGAAATTCATTTAAAAAGTTTTTTTTTTTTAAAAATAAAAAATTGCAAACTTCAAATTTGCTAAGGACGAATGATTGGTACAAATGTTCATATGCAACCATTTGCAAGCCAGCTGTATCAAAGTAATAAAATAAACAAAATTTTCATTTTCTATTTTTTTTTTTGAAAATTTTCGGGTAGAATAATGATTAGAAAGATGACAAATATGAAAGGAAGAAGAGAATTATATGCACTGGTAATGTTGACACAAATGCAGAAATGCTGAATTAAACAGTTTTCTTCTTTTATCTGCAAAAATCAATTTTATAGTATATTTTGAGGAGTTAAAAATTTTGTTTGAAAAAAAGTAAGCAAATTTTAGCAATGATTTTTCTTCTATTATTTTTAATAAAAGTTCTTTTCTTCACTGCTATTGTTACAAAAACGATAGAGAAATTACCAGTTAACAGTTAAAAATTTAAATAGAACACTTAATATATTTAAACTTTTGCACCAGTACTTTTCTTCAATCTCTACTGTAACAATAACAATAATAATAATAATAATAATAATAATAATAATAATAATAATAATAATAATAATAATAATAATAATAATAATAGTAACGATAATGGAAAAAATAATTTTAATAGTAATAATAAAACAACAATAATGATACTACCAACAAATAGGACCATTACCATTGTTATAATATTATCGTCGTCATTATTAACAGCTAATTACTTCTACAACAGCGATGATAAGCAATAAATTTTAAACTAAAATCAAAAAAACTTACAAATTATAGTGTTTTTCCTTAAAAATTTGTTAATCATTAGCAGTATTAATAAATATTTTTTTAAACTAATATCTATCAATATCCCTTGATTTTTTTTTTTTTTTTTTTGCTTTGTTTTCCAAAATAAAAAGTAAATTTTTCTTCTAAAGAAGTATACAAATATCTCTAGATACATCAAAATATTAAATATTCAAATATTTGTCAACCAGACATTAAATACTCAAAGAGCATTTTTTAACATACTTAAGCATTAAATTATTTAATTTCTAATTTTAACATTCAAAAAAAGAAAAGAAAACACGGATACAATGATTAATTTAAATCAAACTGTTTCACTAGTACTACTGGTAAATGAATGTTTGCTTTGCTTAGCACTGTTAATTTAAATTTACAATCTAATTTCACTACTTTTCATTTAGTTAAAAAACTTCCATTTCTTTCCCATTTTGCTTCAAAAAAAACTTCCATTTTGCCTTCATTTCTTATTTCTCGTTTTATCATTCATTTTTTTGAAGAAAAAAAAGAATCCATTTTCTCTTATTCTTTGAAGGTCTTTTTTAGCTGAATTCAAAATTGAAATTCAAACTTATTTATTTTTGCAAGGAAAAAAAGACGAATATTTCAATTTCATATTTGAATAGAAAAAAAATCTGTTTCAAGTATTCATAAGTTTTCCACTCCTAAAACACTGAGAATTTAAGTAACTATAAGTTGGACTAATTAAACACCTGAATAATTAGAGAAGTTAATCATTTATTTTCTGTAATTCTGTAGTCATTTCTGTACTTCGAACAAATACATATGATACTGTTAATTAATCATCAATTAATTAATTGGTCATATCATTTATTACTAAAATTGTTGATTATCATCCATAAGAAATGATTTAATCACTAGCAAATAATTCCATTGGAAAAAATTCTAAGTAAAAAATATTGCAAAATTTTCGACATTTTGTTGAATGATTGCTCATGCAAGAAAAATAATTTACTTCCCGTGTTCACCAATGTGTTAAGTCATTTTAAAAATTCTGGGAAAAATGTTTTTTTTTTTTTGAAAAAAAATTGAAATGTTCATTTCTTTCATCGGTTCATTCAAGGTTAATGGTTTCTTTTCTATTCCTTTCTATTTAATAAAATACAATGTTTTCTGTTTTTTTTTTTTTCATTTTGTATTTCAAATTCTAATCAATCAACCAGAAAAGAAGAGAAAGAGGAAAAATAAGCTAAGTGACTAATTTTTAGAAATAGAGTAAAAAACATTCCTTTATATTATAAAATGATATAATTTAATTATTTTGGCTAAAAATTTTTGACAAATTTATTACCCATTAAAAAAAAAAAACTCAAAAAGTGAAGTATTAAAATGCATCAATTAACATTATCAACTTTATTTGTTATTTCATTTAAAAAAAAACAAGTTTTTCTTTTTTCTATTCTTTTTCTTCTTCTTCTTTCCTTTACACCATGATGCACACAACTTTTATCATATCATTTCAAATTTTCCTTCGTTTTTTACACCAACTACTTTTCTCTTTTTTTTTCTTTTTGGAAATTTATTTTCTTACTTTATTTCTTCCATCGTAATTTTTGCTTTGTTTATTTAAAGCGTTGTAAATTATTTGTGGTAAACCAATCGTATATATATATAGATAAGTGATATAGAATGCTAAGAAATTTCAGTGGTGGTTACGGTACTTCGATACAGTATGCTATATCTAATGTACAGTAACTTTAGTCAATTTGTATAAATTATTGTAGATTATCTATTTTAGTTGATTTATATAAAACATTGTGAATTATCTGTAGAAAATCAGCTATATATATTCAAAAGGAATAAAAAATGCTAATAAATTGAGTGACTAATTTAATTAATGATACCATTTTTTTCTACAAAATTGATGAATCACAATATTAATTTTTTGGTTGATGATAGCTTCATATAACAGCAAAGTTAATTTTACATTAATGTACAAGAAATAAGTATAAAAGTATGCAATATTAATCATATACAATATTCATATTAACAAATGAGTATTTTAATACAATGAAATAGTAGGTTTGTAATTACTAATATTTTTTAATTTTTATTCAATATTGGTTTAATTATTGATATTTACAGCAAAAGAATTTTTTATTATTTATTTATTTATTTTGTTTCTTTTCATCTAATGATAGAGACTTCAATTCAACTGATAATTGATGAAATCAGTGTCAAATAAATTGATTATTTGAAAATTAGCAAACTAGAAAGCTTTACAGAATCTTTTAATCGAAATAGCGATATGAAAGTTATTAAAAGTGGATTAAATTTTTTAGCAAACACATAAAAAATTTTATCTTCGACTAGATTATATATATATACCACTCTTAAAATTAAATTTTATCTCAAAAAAAGTTTAAAAAAATCATTAGTTTCATATGCATCCAAAAGAATTGATGAAGTGATAATATGGCATTTTAATAGTTAAAATTGTGTGGAAGCTTATTTCAATAATTTTTACACATATATTAATTATCGGATCAATTTGCTTCCTTTTTTAAATCACTTTTAATCACTTTTTTTTAGCTCAAATTTGAAACAAATGGCTCGACGTTCGCTAATTTCACCATTTTCACCACGTTTCAGTCGATTTTTCGATGAGTTCCGTGATCTCGACATTGAGCGACCATTCTTTCAACGTCCTTATTGGACAGATTATCAATTCGAAGATTCTCATAAATTAGGTTCCGGTATTGGCGAGGTTATCATTCACTTTAAATCCTTTTTTTTTTCTCTCCCTCTCTCTCTCTGTCATTTCTCTCCTTTTTGGATATAGATTTAAATTTAATATTCACTTGAATACTGCAACCCTTTTTTAGTTTCAAATATTTATCAAGTAAACATATTTGAAAAAATATTTGTTTTTATGTTTCACTATATGAAAATCCTAATGTAATCCGTATTTTTGAATTCTTAGTTCCATTTCCAGTAAATTTATTCATTATTAATTAAACTATTGTGCTTAATTAAGTTAACAATTTATTCTTCCCAATTTGGAATAATTATCATAAAAATTTCAAATAACAAAGCTTCATTTCTTGCTTTCTGACTTTCGTCCTATCAGTAGTGCATTGGATCTTTTATCAATTTTATCCCTTATCAGTCGTAATTTAATGTTTTAGATAACCGATACTGATGAGCATTACTCGGTGACTATTGATGTATCACAATTTGCGCCCGATGATTTGAAAGTATCTGTAAGTGATGGAATTGTTACCATTGAGGGTAAACATCCAATGATCAAAGATCAGTTTGGAGAAGTTAGCGAATTTTCCTTTCTTTTTTCATTGCCTAATGCTTTATTTTAACCATTTAAGACAATATTGGTTATAAATTTCTATGCAATGTTCAATTTAGTCTCAAAAGATACATTTATTGTATAAGCAAAATATACAAGCATAATTTTAATTAAAAATTAATCTGAAATTAAAAACTAATAAAAATCCCTGTCAAATATCTTTAGGAACATATATTTTGAAATTATATCTATGAAATATAATCATAATTTGAAAATGACATAAACTAATTTTTTACTCTTGAAAACAATAACTTTTTAAAGATTACTTTAGTATCAATGAATGAACTTTAAGATTGAGCGTCAATTTACCCGTCGTCTAATGCTACCAAAAGATATAAAACCTGAATTGGTAACGAGCGAATTAACGAAAGATGGTAAATTGACGATACAAACACCAAAGAAGGAGAAAAACGAGGCGCAAACAAGGACAATACCAATTCTGCGAAAAGACTAACAGAAATTATTATGGCAGAAATGTCTGAACACATACAAATGTAAAAGTTCCCACATTTAATAAATAAAACTACAATAAATAGAATTTTCAAATTCCATCATTTTTCAGAATATCTGCCAATTACTGCTGCAGATTTTTTTCTATATCTCTATTAAATGAAGTTCATAATGTAAATTAATTTTCGTATGAATAAATTTACTGCGCATTATTTCAAATGTCTCCTAATTATCATAAGATTTCAGAAACTTTTTCGTTTGCATAAATTTAGACAAAAATTTAATCTACCTTTTCAAGAAAAAAATAAGAATTAAAAAACAAGTGTAATCCTTTGTAATAATTAATGTAAATTTTATTGATATGGTTAGACATATATACAGCGCACATTACAGTATTATTTAGAAAGCATTTAAAAACAAATTTTGATCAGAAGTGAATACAAAGTTACGAATGCATCTGTGATGAACATAAAAGTGCTCATATAGGAGAACAATATATCACTGACTAGACAAAACGCAAAATGTAAAAAAAAGCTGACAATAAAAAATTTGATTTAAAACTTGAATTGTATTCGACACTTGTCAACAAGACGGGATAAAATGGTTTATAAGTAAACTAAAATAAACACAAATGCTTACACTGGATTAAAGTCAATCAAGCAGTACAACAGTATAAAATCTATCCAGCACGAATGTTTTTTAAAAAAATTCCGTAGATTTGATTTACCTTAAACTAAAACATCATAATAATCTTACAAGTCTAAACCATTCCGAGCCATTATGTAACATAATCGTTAGAAAAAAAAAAAAAAAAAAGAAAAAAACTAATGAATAAAATCAGCAGCCAATTCACAAAACGCCATACAATCCATCCTTACTAATTTACCATTTCTAAGCATCTTTAACGGATTAGATATACGAACAATCCGAAAATCAAAATTTTCGCAACCGCTTTCTTCAGATGAAATCTAGAAAAGCAGTTCATTAATTCCAGCATTCAACAACAGAAATTTTAAAAAAAATTTCAGAATTATTTTGAATATATAGTTGTCAAGTTGGTATAGTTCTTAGTATCTGCACACATGAAAACGATTATAAATTCTTCCTTGTAAAAGATTTCAAATGCCAAAAATATGTGTCACTCACCTATATAATATTTATAATATAATTGAATACCTTAACATCGATAATGTGGGGTTCAGGTACAGCTACCGAATCACCAATAACGAGTCCAAATTTATTTGATGCATTATAAATGCAAAAAGCACAGCAAGATCCTTCTTTATCACAACCAACAAATGTGCTGAAACCAAAACTGACATAAATTATTTAATTTAGTTTGTATTTTCCACATTTTTTCATTATTCTAATAATTTTTCATTTTTGTTCATATCATATGAGTATTACACAAATTATAATGATATTATCTCTTTCTAAACTACACTATATTACGTTTTCAAACAAAGATAATAACTGTTACATTTATCTCTCGAGTTCAATTTTATGATTCAAAAATTCCAGCTAACACACACACACACACACACACACACACAAACAAACAAACAAACAAATAAACAAACAACACATGCTTTGCTCTGTGTTTAAAGCTAGTTCTGCCTTTGCAGATAAAAATGATTAAAGTGATTTTTCAAAAAATGAAAATTTCACTTAACGTTAAAATAACTTTTAAAAAAGAAGATGGGAAAGGAAAGCTTACTATGGGATAACTTCTGTATTAAGGATAATTGCAACAACTTTGCCACAAATTACAACATCATCGTTAATTCCTTCCTTCAGTTCTTTAAATAAAACTGTTCTAAGGATTTCGATTTTACCACTTCTTTTCTTGAATGCCTTCTTGCAATATACTCCAAAATCTTCATTAGATATCGAAGATCTAAAGTGTTTCATTTTTTTTGCAGATAATCTACCTGAAATGATCGCTTAATACATAAAAAAGAAAAAACAAGCAAAATAAGAGTTGGAATTGTTGCAGGTTCTTATACTCTTATAAATTATACAACTTTGCTAATTTGTATCAGCTGAAGATTACAAAATAGTTATTTGTTTCAATGGTCATAAAAATTGATTTGTCATATTTAGCTTTCATGTCTGATTTCAACTAATTTAATTAAAAATTTATGTAATAACCTTTTCTCTGCACTTGACTGTTAATTTGTTTCAAGAACGACAGCAGTGTTTCCAACCGTCCTTTTGTTTCCAGAAATCCCGGATCGTAAACATTTGCTATTTTTAAATGTTTCAAACACTCTCCATAATTCTGAATAAATTTAAGAGCAGTTGAGTAATTAAGATGCAAATCAGGGCTATAACGCACGTCACCAAGTTGTAGCGCTCTTTCGTAAGCTTCTTGGGCTTTCTCCTACAACCAAATTGAAATTCAGGGAAAATTAATGAATTAAAATCAAAGAAAACGAAAAGTAGATCACTTACTTATTTACCTAAAACATGTTTAAACATTGTGATAAGAAAATTAATCAGTTTAAAACATCAGTTTGATTTTGATAACTCATTTTATTTGCGATTGGGCCGCATGATATCAGTATTATTTTAATCAAACTGATAATTAAGTGAAAAAGAACACCCATTTTAGTGTTTGGTCACAGTTATGACAAAAAACAAAGGAAAACAACTGAGCAATCAAAGCTTTTTGCCTTCTTAAAATGATTACCATTTATTTTAAAAACGAAAATAGCAGTTTGAAGAATGAAACAAACCATAAGTTCCATATTTGTTTGGTACTTGAGAAAAAATTGCATCAAACATGAATTTCCTAGTGTGTGCCATGCTTTATCAGAATCAGGATCAAGCTTAACGGCTTCATCAGACAATTTAGCAGCTTCGTCTTGCAACGAATGTTGAATTTCTGTTTCCGCTGTACACAAAGCAATTTGTCGAAGTACTATTGCAAGTGAGGCAAGACATTTTCCAGTACGATTCAAAGCTGATGATTTCTATAGAAAGTAATCGAAAAATAAGTAATGTGAATTGGAAATGAAGCTGCAAAAACATGGTAAAAATTTTTAATAAAAATTTTTAAAAAATGAAAGAAAAATATAATAAAATAGCTGTTCTTGGAAGGTATTCATATTATTGGTGAAAAAAATATCAATGTAATTTGATAAAAATCTTAGTGTTTTGAGAATTTTAAACTTCTTAATTTAATATCATCTCTTCATCTGATAGAAGCACATTAGCATTAGCACTCTCAGATTAGAACACTACTTACACGAAAACAATCCATTGCTGTTGTAAAATCTTCCTTCTTTCTGACACATTCACCAAGTTCATACCATGCATCACTCAGTGAAGGATCCAATTTTACGGCACGTGATAAATATCTTTCACAATTTGCGTCATAATCCACACAGATGTTTAAAATTCGTCCACAAATGTAATTATATCGTGCTGATGTTGATGAATGTGCATTCATATCTAACGGAATATCCTGAAAAAATAAATAATATTCGAATATTAAACGAAAAATTATTAAAGATAATGATGCCGTTATTATCATTATTGACATAAAACAAACGAATGAATTTAAGTAAAATCAAAAGTGGTAATTTGTGGAATTTCGAAACATTATCATTATATTTTGGCTGATGCTTATAATCGAAAAACAAACTATCAATTTGCAATTTTCGAAGATTATTTATTTTTTCAGAATGCTGAAACATAGAGAACATCCCTTTAAAAAAGAGGGAACTGAATTGTCATCGATTGCAAGAAAACCAACTAAATTAACATTCTTTTGACTGATTATCAAGTTATACAAGTGATTAAATTATTGAAGTTATGCTTCTTACATGAACATGATGATTAGTGAACGAACAGTACAATTAAATGATGGAAATTATCAAAGGTTAAGTTGTTAATGAATTATTGAAAATGACTAAATTGAAATGATAAAAAGTTATTAAGATTAAGCTTGCTGCCATGGATATACAATAAATGATATTAATGAAAAGAACTATATGTGAAATTAGAATCTCACCTGAATTAATGGCAAAACCTTTTCACGAACGGCTTGCTTTTTCTCTTCTAATGTGGATTTCGGAAACTGTTGATAGTAACAGTCACGGAAACGTTCAGTTTCCTTAATTTTCTCTTCCAGAACATCCATTTTTTGCAGCTCCGGAAAAGCAACGCCTTTATATTAAGGCCTAAACAGCATACCTGCAGAATGAATGGAATAATTTAATTATAAACATGATCATTATTATTATTTGTTATCGATTACTACAATTAACACTTAACAATAGCACAATGTGTGAAGTTATTATACGATAACTGCAATTTCATTAAGTAATCTTTGCAAAATTAACAATTATTTGAAATAGCTGATAATAAAATTCGAAACAAATCTATATTTTCCAGCAGTAACGACACTGTTTAAGAATGAAAATATAAGATAATATTGTGAAGAGCTAATAATGATGCTAACATTCATAAGAATAATTTCATGATAATAGTATTAAGAAAACAGTTTCCGATTTTATAGACATAATTTAAAGTGTTAGTAATAAAACTGCTCATCTTAAAAAAAAAAATAAAATAAATGCAACACAATAAAATTGTTAGTTCATCAAAAAAAGAAAAAAAAATTTCGGTAATTAAAGTGATGCTCTCAAACAATTAGAAATTAATAGAAATAAACTCAAAGTTTTTTAAATATTAAAATTAAAAAATAATATTCGCTATGAAGAGATAGCAGGAATTGCTAAGATTTGCAAAATATTATGCCTTTCTTCCACAAACAAAAAAAAAATGAGAAGCTAAAAAAGCTAAGAAATATATAACATAAAAAAGGACAAATAATACAAGAGAAAAAAAGAGAAATTGATGCAAATGATAAAAGTGAGATATTCTTAAATGAAATTAAAAGATTCTTAAAAGAGATTCTATTTCTTAAATTAGACAAAAAAAAAAAAAAAAAAAAAAAAACAAGAAGAGTGCAAAATTAGTGATAATACTTCGTTTTATCTCATTTAATCATTTCTTATCACTCCAATCATTTGCAAACTACTCAAATTTACCAATCTTATTGCATCAATTATTGAAAAATTAACATTTCCGATCAGTAAGAGAGGAAAAAGGAAATAAAAACGGAAGGATAAGGTTGAAATTTAACGAATCGCAACAGAGTTTGTCATTGGGATAAGAAAATTGCATAGAATAGCAATCGTTTTTGTCAGAAACTGGTTAGCTTGGCTTGGTTTGTTTGTTTGAAGGCAATTTTATTTGATTGAAGGAAAAGGGAGAAGTGAAAGTTCGTCTAAATTTCAAGATAATTAAGTATTTAATTGTTTAATTAAAAATTTAATTAAAAATTTGATTTTGCTGTTTCATTGAAATTTTGCTTTTTTGCGTCACAAATTGATCAATTAGTAATGCTTATTAGAGCTTTTGTTCTTTCCATTCTAAGTTTCATTTAAACCGTTCATCATTTTTTTGTTAGCATTATAAGCTTTTATCATTTACGCATCTAAATTTTAGATTTCAAATGGTAAAATTTTAGGTTCTGAATTTTTTTTTCAAAAGTAATGTTCGTCATTTTAATTATTTGATGTTTGCAACCTAAATTCATTATTAGTATTGCTTTGCGTTGAGTGAAATGAAAACTGCTTTCCTTTACGTTATTATAAGCCAATGCCACATTTTAAATAATGTTTCGAAATTAAATGGTAGCAAATTAGTAGGGGTAGAATATTGGTAAAAATTAAATAGTAAACAAAATCGTATCATTGCTACCATATTTTGTGAAAAAGGCAGATTGCACAAAAATGATTTGTATGATTGGTGAACTAATTTTTTTTCTTTCTTTCTTTCTTTTTTGTTATAACAGTTAATGTGAACCATCATGAAATTCATTCATTTTATGATTCATAAAAATCTCTTAAAATTCTTGGCAATTATTTTTTCACATATTGAATTTTATTACAGTGCATGACAATTTTTTTTCCAGTTGTTGTTTCCTTCAGGTTTTCGTTGTTTTCTTTCTTTTTTTTTTTTTGAATTTTATTGAATATTCAGTTCTATTTTAACCAAACAATAAACATGGATAGAAAAGCGACTGTATTATAGTGTTTCTGTGACTACCTTAATACAACAATTTCAGTCGGAAAAACTTGGTGATGACGGAAACGGTTGTACATCAGAATCCGGCAGTTGTTACAGTTGCTTCACCAGTACATACCCCATGGAATGTTGATACCCAAACGGCAGTTTCCGAAACCTTATCCACTTCCTTAGTAAGTTGCGTAGTCGTTGTTTTCTTCAGTTCGTGTGGCTGATTAGTTGAGTTCTGTCTTTGCTTTCTGCTAATTATTACATAAAAAAAAAATTTTCTTCTAATACAGTATTACCTCAGTACGCGTACCACGGTGTATTACTACGATAAAAGAAGATCAAGATTCATATGTACCACTGTCATCAGAGAGTATTGTTCTGAAACCATGCTTCTTTATAATTAGAAAAAGTTGCTTTTCGGCAAACTTTTCAACTGTTTTGCATATTTCTATATTTCTGCTGAATTATTGCAAGTCATAATAGGATTTTTTCGAAAAATGTTTAGATTGGAAAGAGAAGGAGCATTCACGAAGTTTAATTTCTTATCTTACCAACATGAAGATAGTTTATTTTTCAGGAAAGGAGACATACGTCGATTAATGACTTTCCTGATAGTGTATCGATAAGCTTGCTTCAAAGTGAATCGCGACGAATGTTGTTCAATCAGAACGTATCATCCTCTTTAATTCATGCTGGAAGCACTAATCCTTTTGAAACTAGGTCATACATTTTCTGTTTTGTCCTGCATTAGCTTATGTGTTTGAATGAAGAAAAAATGTTGAAACTTTAAAATTAACATTTTTTTTTTTCAGTGGCAACATCAGGGAAGAATTTGCTAGTTCTTCGGATGATTATCTGTCGGATAAAGCTGAAGTTGTATTTAGGGGGGACACTGCTCCGTCACAAGTAAAATGTTGAGACATATATTTTTCGAGTGATTTTGTAGGATTTGAAATGATTAATGATCATGTTTTGTTAGTTTGGTCGTAGTAATAAGTAGAAATAAGTAGAAGACCTAGTCATGAGAAAATTATGTGATCATTTTATATTCCTTAAAATGTTTTAGGGAACATCTCCTGGCATTAAATGGAAAGCTTTGAATAATTCAGATGAGGAAACAAGCGATGGTTCTGATGAAGTTGATGGTGATACAGATGATGATGGTGATAACGATAAAGCTGGTCATAGTTTCTAAAAATTTCAAACTAGAGTGATAATGCATAAGATTGTATGGCAACTAAATTATTTTGATTAATCTTATTGTTAATTCAGGATAATATGTAAGCTGCATCTCAAAAAACAATCATTGCACTATTGCATTTCTTTTGGTTAAGGAATTCCATATGTCTTGTTATGGTGACATCATGTTTTTTCAGGCATTTCTAAGGATTTTTTTTTTACTTTTCTATTTTCCAGGAATGTCGGACACGGAAACGAAAAATCTTCTAGAAGATGCCATTGAAGACGAAGAAGAATCTGATTTGGAAGACAGTAAAACATTGAGCAGTGACATAGGCCGTACGTCGAAACCAGTTCAGGTTTTTGATTATATTTTTTCGTATTTCAAGAGAAGAAAAAAGTTGAAATTATGAAGAAGGGATTTGATAGTTGTTACTGTGTAGTTGTACAATGCGTTTGCAGAATGTTGGTCACACCTTTACTGCTGAGATCTGAGATTTTGATTCTTTACTTTTAGTTGCGAATCTTGAGTCATCATCTTTTGGAGTTTTAGACAAATTGAACAAGTTTTCCAGGATAAAACTTCCTCAGAATCGTTGGCAGATTCATTGTATGGGATGTCCGAAGAACAAAAAACTTACTACGCAAAGTGTTTTGATCACCTAATGAAAAAAACTGCTGTAAATATCATTCAGATTATTTTGGGTTTAAGATTATATTTGCTATCTCAGAATATGTCCCATGTTTTAATATATGATTTGAAAAGTTTTTCGTTTTTATCCAGGATTTTCTTTTTGTTATTTATAGTATTACTTCATAGGAGAAAACTTGTGATTTTATCTGTTCAGCTGTTTCATTCAGTATATTTGTTTCGTAATTTGCAATATTCCAATAGAACAAAGGATGGCAGAAAATAAGGTTTTTTCTTTTTTTTTTTTTTTTTACAGGGATATAGTGATATAAGTGGTGCCATTTGTGGTGCAAACGAACACGTTGTTCAGTTTTTCAAGCGAAGCGGTTTAGATCGTGAAAAACTATCCAAAATTTGGAGTTTAAGTGATGTAAACGGAGATGGCTACTTGGATTTGAATGAATTCTCAGCCGCTATGCATCTTATTGTTCTGCATATCAAGGTAGCTAGTTCTGGATTTGCTTGGAATTGCTGAAATCGATTTTTTTCTTGTCTCTGCATTATTTGCACTTATACATTGTACTTATCCTGAAATTATATGCAAGTCAAGTTTTATAGACAATTTTTAGAATAAATATTTTTTGTTTGAAAAATTTTTATGAGTGCAATGATAGTCATCTTTCCGTTTTAGGGTCACATTCCAATTCCAGATGTTATTCCATTTGAAATTAGTCCTCCAGTTATGCCACGTCGAGATGTCCCACAATTAATTTCTGGTTAGTAATTTCCAATGAGTGTTTAACGTTCTTCTTTTCCATCGATTTTTTGAATCTAAAATTCGGTCACATATCATATGTATAGGTCATGACATCTGCTTATCTACGAAGTATTATAGATGATGGTAATAGCAGACAAGGGGCAGAAACACAAGCAGCCAATATCATGCAGGATTGGAAACAGTTCGATTACGATGACGTTATAGCAGGGGTAACACTTGGACATTGTCCACAACAATACCATTCCTTCAGTGATCAGCATCTTCATGTTCAATCTGAAAATCAAGTTGATCCTTTGTTTAAATCTGTTCAAGATTTCTTGAAAAATCTTGTTACGTTAGCAGCAGTTCAGTTACCACATCTTCACTTCTTTTTACTTATAAGTACGTAAGGCAGAAATTTATTCGTTACCTCAAAACAGCTGACTTATTGATCTTTCCTAAATAATTAATTAAGAAATATTTTTCTAACTTTAAGAATTCAAATGTTTCCGATGGTGACTTTTGCAGGATTATCCTGAAAGACTGAGTACTTTCTCGGATGTTCCACCACTTCTTGTCGATGTACGTCCTACAGCACTAAAAGCCACACAACGTATGATTTAACTGATGATTCTAATCATTGGAATGCGCGTAATCTTCATCCTTACATGATTACTGATAGTGTCATCGTACGGTATTTCTTAGCCAGATAGAATTAGTTTATTTTGGGTTGGAATGTAAAACACTTCCTGTTATCAATTCAAAAATCAAGAATTTTTGACGAATTTTAGCTCTAATTTCTGCGATTACGGCCAAAACTGTGTCTTCTTCTAATGTTCAGTTCAATGATGCTGCAAATTTTGCATTAAGCTCACAAGGACCCAAAGGACCTCCACCGAAACCACCTCCAAGGCCTGCAAGCAAAGGACATGGACGCAGTGCCAGCCTAGATTTGAATAATTTTCAAAATTTCGCTCTAACACCTGGGTGTGTTTTGCAACTTTTCTGAAAGTCTGAAAATCCTAAAATTTTGAAGGTCCTAAAAATTTTACACATAGCTTAATTCTGTTTATTTATAGGTTAAGACTGAATATGGCAGCGGAAACATCACAGCGGGGCGCTACTCTGCCTGCTCAAGGATCATTACGTCATCCATGCAGTTCTGTGCCTTCTGATACCTTGCATTTTACGATAGCAACAGAATGTCAAGGTGAGGAACGATTCCTGATAGGCAGTGTAAAAGTATTCGACTTTATTTTCCATGATTTTCTGAGTTTTTATTACAATATATATATATATATATATATATATATATATGCTCATACACTGGTCTAATGAATGCGAACAGTATCTTTACCAAAATAAAAAAAAGAAAGAGTTAGCCTCTTTTTCCGTGTGCAAAATTTTTTTATAATATTGACACTATCAGCTAGGAACGAGTTTTTGCCTAATATCAGCTTTTGTTAATCTCTCCCGTTTGAGTTAAAATGTTGAATTAACACACACACACACACACACACACACACACACACAACATCTAAATCTTATTTTATGAATGCGTTTTACAGATCCCAGTTCTTCACTTCGGCATCCTCCTGCTCCACCGTTACCACCACGATCAACATTTGTCGATATTAGCGTACAAACGGAAGACATTATATCATCACGAAGCTTTAATGATGGACGCGAACTTATCGAGCTCAATATCGATATGGGTGGGTTATCTAATCATTTTGCTATTTTTTTCCTTATTAATCTAATTTTTTTCTCTTTTGATTTTAAGTAACTATAAAAAAAGAATGGAAATCTTCGGATTTTCTTAATGGTAATTGTTTTATTTATTTCCATAGTATATTGCATATTGTATATTGGTTTATCTTCTAGTATCAAAAATTAGTGAGAAGGTTAAAATGTGGAAAAAGTTCGAAAGAATAATGGTTAAATTTTTTTTTCTAAAGAAAAGCGTATCGAGGAATTGTTGGCAGAGGAAGGTAATGCAAGTGCAAGTAATAGTTGTAATACTAACACATGTAATGGCGCGACGACAAGTACTCAATCATCAACCGGACAGGTGAATTGGCAAGTTCGATGTGATCACTTACGTTTATTAAACAGTCATTTAGAAGCAGAACGGGCTAAATTAGCGCAAATTAGGTTGCAGCTTGAATTGAGGCTTCAGGAAGCAACTGGTAATCATCCATCGATGAAGCCAACTTCACTTTAAAACTTTTTTTTTTTGATTTCTGTTCCTTTTGCTCCGGTTTTTGATTCGATTTTGCTTTCTAATCTGTTTCGCTCTCTCTCGCTCTCCATCGTTTCCTTCTTTGTTGTTGTTATTCTTATTAGTAGTTGAAATAATTAGTAATAAAATGGTTGCTCTCTTTTGCCGGCATTTAGAATTACTTGTTCCAATTTTACAATATTTTCAAAAAATAAACTCATAAATTCCACATCAAAAGTATAAGCAAGTTTTTAATCCTTTGACGAAAATTCGATAATCCCAAATTTTTTGCATATTTAGGAAAATTGTAAGCATTCTGTTTGTTTGTAATTTTCTTTTGGGCTGAATTTATTTTGTGAAATTGTTCAAGATTACATCCGGAAATAATTACGTTTATTCATAGCAAATTTCCTAAGTGTGTGACGAAAATTTTTATGATCATTTCAAATTATGATTTTTATGTAAAATCCATGGTATTTATTCCTTTAATATACATATCAGATGCTCATTGTGCAATAACTTATTTTTGCATTCACACAAAGATATCATTAACGAAAATTTTTACATGTTTCAGTTTTAAGTAGTATTACAATATGGTGGTTCTAGCAATGTCGCTGTTTAAATTAGTTCTTAAGTTATAAATTAATTTATCGAGAGATTTTGAAATGTAAGTTAAAGCAATCTGCTTATCTTTGGCTGAGATGTATAATTTTCATCTTCCTTGTTTTTTTTTTTTTCTCAAAATCTATCACTGTTTCATTTTTATCAAATAGCAAAAATGTTAACGCAAAATTAGTCTGCAGTAGGAGAAATAAAGATCGGTGGCAGGTGGTAAATCAATTTATGTTCTGGATATGTTTAAAATGGCAAGATTTTAAGATTCTTAAATTAACTTTGATGCATCCATATAGTTGCAGAAGAAGGTATTTTTAAATTTTCTTTACCGAAATAATTTATTATTTACGCGATTTAAAAATTTAGACTTTTTTTGTATTATAACAAATCTAAGTTATTTGCACATTTTTGAAAAATTTTACACCTATACGAATGAAATATTTTCATTCAGTTTTATGCTTTTAATTATTTACATGGTCTTATTGATTTTAATGTTTCAGACGCTTAGTGATAAATTATGGAAATATTTTGGGCAATCCTTTTCTTATTTCCTTAAGAAAATTGCTTTTTTTTTGTATTTAATATTTCGAACAGTTTTATACACCTGTGCGAATATATTAGGATTATTTATTCGTACCTGCAAAATAATCATATCAAAACCGAAAGTTGTGCTCACACGCACACTAACAAGTGACACAAACATGACAATCACATTTTGTAAAAATAAAGTATTAGTACTGTTACCATTATATTCTTTCTGTTGTACCTCTTTCCAAATATTTTGGTTCATATCCATGAATTTCCTTTTCTGTTTCATTTTTCCTAACCTTAAATAGTAGCACAATTTAATTTTGCCTGCTATTCCTTGATGTTTCGCGGTGTATTTCCCACTTCATTTTGTTTAAATCCTTGCTTTTGCATATTTGTACATTAAATAATTATTTCCTTACTTGTTTAACATTCCATTTATTCAAGGATCCCAAAAAAAACAAATCTACCACATCAAGTAATGCGTAGCGGTAGTGCAGATTACACAAAATAAATGGTTAATCGATGAACTGGAAAATTCTGAAAAATTCGATTCCATCATTTTCTTCAACTATAGGGATAATTTTTCAAACAAATATGAAAGTTAAAATTATATACCATAGAACCTAAAGGGAAAGTGTATTTTGTTTTTAGCTTTTTTATTTATTATGTAAAAGTATTATACAAATCTGTGTGTGGCGAAATTTACCCAAATGTTAATTTATCATCAATGGGCAATTTAGATTAATTTTCGACAAAAGAGTTCTAAAAAGATCTGATCAAAAGGTAACATCAATGTTGTTGCAATCAATAAAATATTCAATGAAAAAAAATTTAACAAAATACAATTTTCTATGTCAAATGTTCTCTTCATTTCACATTTCTCATCGATTCATCCATTTGAACATCCAATACTTTCATTATATTAACTTTCCCGTAGTAGTTTTAGGGTAACTTATCTGGTTAAAATAGTAAAAAATTTCATTTGAAAAACGAAAAAAAAGTAAGTGGTGGCATAGACTAATGTGAATTATACTTTTGTTGAGTCAAAAAGGATTAAAATTATGATTGCAAATTATGATTCTATCATTGCATTTGAAATATAAATGTGACATTCATATTTTTTGCTATAACTAATGAGAATAAAACTAATAATAATTAATTAATTATAATAATGAAATGGAGAAGAAAAAGGAGAAATTCAATCTTACATGCAAATTTTGTCATTGTATCCTTTGACAACTCAGTCTTGATATTTCCATCAGTCTGGAAACCATTCCCTTTCTTAGACCAATCATTGATTATAAATCACTGAATTCACTAATTTTCAAAAAATTAAAATTTTAAAATTTTGAGAATAATTGAGTAATTTCAATACATTCATATCAATTTACAAAGTTTATTTCTTCAAATTTTGTACTTAATTTTTTAATCAACGCAACTATGAAAAATGGAAACTTGCATTCATAAGAAAAGAGTAATAATAAAAAGAAATGTTTAATGTCAAAACATTTGCATATATAAAGTTAACAATATTTTTGAAATATTATTAGCTTTGTTGTGTAAACAATCTTCTTTTTAATAAATTTTTACTTAGAAAAAATTCATTTTTTTCAAATGTTTTCAATCAAACAATCGAAGTATATTTTTATATTAATAATTATTGTCATCATTGTGTTTATTATTACTGCTTTATTATTGTATTTATTATAATTACTATTATTATTATCAATATTATTATTATTATTATTATTATTATTATTAATATCATTAGTATTATTACTTTTATTGTCATTATTTATTATTATAATTGTTATTATTAATGTGATGGCTAATTAAATAATTTATTAAATGTTATTTATTGTTTTATTATTGGTATAACTGCTATGCTTAGAATGAAAATGCGGTTTGTTATGATGAAAAATTTTTATTTGCCTTATAACTGTAATGTTTGCATAAGACTCATACCTGTCAGACAACACCAGGAAGCAATTTGAAAATTTTAAATGATAAGTTAAGAGCATATCTGAGCTCTCGGATATCTCTAGGAAACAATTTTAGATTCCACTGATAACATTATACTATCAATGAAATGATAATATGTGGGGAGTGGGTTAGCATAACAGATTTAATGTGCAAATGGATTAAAGGAAATGTACCATCTGTTTGGTAAACAGATTAGAAGGTGTTGAAGATTCGATGAAAAGTAATGTTTATTTCAAATGTAATATTTACATTTCACTATTAAATTTGAAGATTTTTACAAGACATCAATCATTTCATCAATAATAATTCTGGATAATACCTAAATTTTATTTGTGGTTTGAATAATGATTTCAAAAAAACTTTTTTCCAGCAATTTTTTCTCGATTACTTTTTATCAATCTCAATTCAGGCAATAAAAAAAAAAGAAAAAAAAAACAAATGAAACTAAAACTGAAAACTATTAAATTTCAGTTTCCTTATAATTCATCAATCTCTACAATCATTTTATTAGTGAATATATTCAATTTGTTAAATTAATTTCAAAAGTACCACCCAAATATTTATCTATTCGATTTGAATATATTATTACTTTTCAATTTTAATTTATACTGGTTGCTTTTTTCATATAAATAATTATTCGTCTAATTTGTTTTCAAAATAAGAGAAACAAAAATGAATGTAAATACTGAAGAAAGAAAGAACAAAAAAACTTAATGCAACATTATAAATTTGATAAAAAATGGTTTGTGCATCTAAAATTGAATTAAAAGTATTTGAAATTACATTTGAAAGCAAGAAAAGCAAAATTCATGAAGATATAAAAAAAAAAAAGAGTTCCTTTTAAATAACATCATAAAAATTGTTCTGTCATAGTAAAATATAACAATATTTGAGAATAACTATAAATTTTAAAATAAACTAATTCAAGAACCTGAAATATGGCAAATTCTAAAAAAAAAAAATTGATAAAAGCCGGCAGTAAAACGACGTTTTAAAATTTCACACGTTTAGAGCTACAGATTCTTGCTTTTCGTCACAAAAAATTAAAAGAAAAAACTTCAAAAATAATCAAATGCTCGATTGATACCAACCAATTTCATATCGTACTGCCACAGTAGCCAGTTTGATACCATAATGTCATACTGTACAATGACAGTAAGCCTAATTGCATTATTCACTAAAACAAATTCATTTAACGATTTCAAATATTTCTCTTTCCTTTACACTGCAAAGAAGAAATCTTTTTGCTATCTTTTAGTAATTTTCGTTCCTTTTCTATTGAGTTAAGTTAAGGAAAAATGAATAAGTAAACAAATTTCGAAAATTTGTTATTTTCATCAAAATTTGTAATTAACCATTTATTACTATTTGTATATATATGCATGGTATATGGTACATTTCTGAAGTGATTCAATTTAGTGGCAGAGAGTAATGGCAACGTATGCATATGTCAGTCATTTCTGGATCGTATATTTGAATTGTATCGAATTCAAGTAAGCACTAAAACAGGTTCTTCAATAATGCTAGCGTAAATTTCTGTCTAACTACTAGTTTTCTTTAGTTTGTTGTCAATTTAGAAGCAAATATATACATATAGCACTTCATTCCTATCGTATATTTAATTTTGTAAATTCCATTTTATTCATTCATTTATTTATTCCATCTATTTGTTTTATTTCGTTAAAAAATTTTTTTTTTGGAGAAAAACTTTTTTTGATTTTTATGATTTTTAATTGGATTATAATTGGGATTCAAAAAAATTGCAAAACTATATACGGCATTAAATTAACACTTTTTTTTTTTATTTTATTCGTCATCTTAAAAAAAAGAAAAAACATATTTTTTATTTTTAAAATTTTTGATAAATTTTTGAAAAATAAGTAAATCCAGAATTCAGAAAGGATTGTGTTAATTATTCAAAAGTGCCATTTGGAATGATTTTTAAAAGAAGAATTTTGTTAGCTTAATTTTAATCATGGATACATTTCTATCTCGTAATTTTGCTTTGATTGTTAAATAAAACTGGAAATGCTCAAAATGGTAAGCAAGTTTTTTACATACAAACATACATACACACACAATTTGCCATTTTCATTTGAATTTTAAATTTCAGGTCTTTTGATCTAGTTTAAAAGTACCTCATAATATATTGTTATATTTATTTGTATTAGCAGAAAAAAGGAGATATTTTTACTTATATTTTAAAATCTTTTTCTTTTGGTAATTATTACTAATTACAGTTATTTTTATCACTAATTTATTAAATATTGGTAATTACATCGATTAATTGCTTCATTCATTAAATCATTCAGAATCAATTTAAAGAAAAAATAAAAAATTTTCTAGTTGGTATAGTGAAAAAGCAATCTTGGGACAGATGACAAATTAAAAATACATTTTTTCGTTGAATTAAAATTACTCAAAACATTCATGAAATAATTAAATCTTTCTTCTCCTATCTGACAACTGATGGCTTCATTTGTTCACCAAACATTTCATACTTTCACTCTTGCCATCTTCAGTTTTTAATAGCATTATATCATCATTTTAATCATTTTAATTTACAATATGTCAAACAAATCTGTTCATGTTTAATCATAACTTACTGAAATTTATGCATAAATGTCATATTTTATGATGAGTTTAAGAATTTAATTAAGAAAAATCTTGTCTATTCCAAAATCTTTAACTACTTATCGCATAAGTTATTCATAATACTTTTTTCCTATAGCATTTTTCAGCTTTACGAAATATGTGTGTTATATTTAGTAGCAAAATAGATTTTGAATTTTTTGGAACTAAATTTGATATTTGGTTAAGCAATACAAGAATAATTGCATATTTTTGTTAAAATAAATAATTTTAAAAGAAATATTTTTATTGCTATTTCTTTTATTCACTCAGTATATTGCACTAATAAATATAAAAATATTTTATTTATTCCTGATAAATCCATAATTTTTCATTTATTCCTATCCTTATTTCTTTATTTCCATTTATTTGCTGTTCATTCCCATCTATTTTTTTATTTTTCACTTTAATTTTTCAATTCTACTTTTGATTTGTACTAATATGCAAAATCATTATTTTCTTCTACATTTAGTTTCATATTTTTTCATGCATTCATTCATTTATCCAATCGTTTTTATTCCACTATTACTGCTTGATTGTCCAATTTTTTGGTTAATGAATTTTGACTTGAATCAGTTCTGAATTTTATGAATTTAAATTCAATAGTAAAAAACAAATCATTAAATCACATCATATTGAGATAATCTTTGTTGTTGCAGATAAAATGCTATGCTAATAATAAATAAAATTAAAATCAAATTTTAAAAAATTGATAAAATTAAATAATATATATAAGTATAACGATATAAGGTTTGTAACATTGATGAAGATATAGTGAAATGGAGGTGAAGTTTTATTAGTTTTAAATGATTAGGATTACGATGCGTCACGTCTTCTTAAATGCTCAATAAACAAGTGCAGTGAACTGTCCAGTTTTAAAACGAAAGAGAGAGAGAGAAGAGGGAGAGGGAGAAAAGAGAAGTATGAAATAAGAGATGAGTGAAGAAGTTTGATTTGAGTTTGGGATAAGTACCATTTTCATCACTGTTAGCTTTGATGGTCACTTTATTAAATTCAATACTTATTCGTATACGTATAATTAATTCATTTAATTAGCTTTTCATTAACATTAATTAATAGAAAAGGTGAATTTTATTTGTTCTTTGTCCTTTTTTTTGCATTATGCCCAAATGTGCATTCAATTAGTAAACAAAGGTATTTTTATTGATTGAAATGCATTAAAATACTTATTAAGTTTAATAAGAATTATGATCGAAAAAATTTGGTTTTAAATTATATCATTATTGTTTATTGTTATAATATAGAAGTATTTTTTTTTGTTGTTTAAAAGCAAATGGTTGAAATATTTTATAAACAGTATATTTTATTATATGGTAAAGCAATCCAATCAGTGATACAGTAATAATCAAAAAAAAAAGATACGACACGTTAAAATGAGCTGCAGAAAATATACACATATAAAAGTATCCATGCTAAAGATGAATTTTATAAGGAAATTACTACCTCTACAGTATCCTTATCTAAGTTACAGTACCCTTGGCTCTTGGGTATATTTACCCAACTACGTATTCTTCACTTTAACATGATCAATTAATACACTAAAATTGATGGTTATGTGATATCATAGTGTGGTAATAATTGCTAAACAAGTTAATGAGATGGATGTAATAGTTTAGTTTAAAAAAATTAAAAAAAAAAAAAACTAATTTCAATAAATAAAAAAAATGCAACAATAAAAGTTTTTTTCAATGGTTATAATAAGTTCTGATGCTTCTTAAATTAAAAACTAATTAATCGTTTTTTTTTTTTCGCGCATTTATCATTTATTTCTAATTATATTTTTTTGTTCACTGTGAAAAATTTTTATAAAATTTTTTTTTAATGAATTTCTGAAGTGCAACAAGAATAGAAATGTATCAAATTGGAGCAAATTTGGCGATTTCATTTCATGTCTCAATGTTTCTCATAATGATTACGAATATTTCGTCTGAAACTGTTGCAAATGAAGCAATTTTGAATGAACATAATGACAACATAAATGGAAATACTTCATGTAAATTTAAATTAATTAAATTATTTTTCTATAAATTTTTTTATTTTGGTTAAAATAAATTTGTTATGATGTAAATGAAGTAAAACAAGTTAGATGTTTGTTCTTAAAATAAAATGGTAATAATGAGAAATCGTTTTATAAGAAAAAAATCCAAATATGTATTGGAATGTAAAACTAAGTAATTTAATCTTTATACTTACCTTTTGGCTTAATTGAATAATTGAATTCTACAATAAAGTAATGCAAATTTATTGTCAAGCTATTCAAAAATGCATGATCTTTTAGCACACTGATAGACTGAACTGAAAAAAAATGAATTGCAGAACTCTTTTATTGCCCAGTTTTATTCTAATTAAACAATTTAAATTTAATTTTTTAGTTTTAAATCGATTTAAACGACAGTACATGCAAAATTGTCCACCGGGATGCTTTGCAAGTTGTTATGCAAGTTCTCAATGTCAACAAGTTGCACCTCGAATGATTTGCATTCATGCATGTTGCTGTCCAGCTACAATGCCAAACAATAATATTCCAGCAGTCATCAATCCTGGAAGCATTAATATTATCCCAATTCCAGTACCAATTACACCAAGTCAATCAAATATTTTCAGTCTTTCAAGTGAGTTTGTTCTAAATTAATTTTTTAATTTAACTTTCTTCACAAAATTTTTAAAGAGAAAATTAAAGAAAAATATTTTCAACTACTTTTGTGCAATTTCAATATTTAAAATTTTTTTAATTTTTGTCCTTCAGTTTTATCATATAAAATGTAATGTAACCTATTAGTTTGATCACAAAAAATGACTAATAATAATAATAATAATAAATAACGATTTCAAATAATTTCTTCCATTATTTATTCACTTTCTTATTTATTTGACATATAGTATTTAATTTGTTATTTGTTTATTTACTTCACAGCAATTCATAGCAATAACTTATAGCATACACATATAGTAATTTAGTCTACTATCAATTCAGTCATTAAACTATTTCATTAAATTTAATTAATTCGGTTAATTAACTAATTGATCTGTTCATTAACCTTAATTACTTAATTTACAGTAAATTCATAACAATAATTTAAACTTTAATTAGCTTTTGGTATTAGTAGGAAGAGAATTAAGGAAAGAAGAAGTGAGGATGTGATATTTTCAGCAGCATGTGATGGAGGACCAGCCGTAGCAGCATGTATCAATGGACTTTGTGGACAAGGCTTCTTCTGTAACAGTCGAGGTTTTTGCTGTCGCTGTGCTTCCGGAAATTCTACCGGTAAATGTTTTACAAAACTATCAAATAATCACTTCCATATATTGTTTAATAAGCGGAGCAAATTTAAGTTTATGATTTAATAAAGTAGCATGTGGAAATTAAATAGATTCATTCCTAAATTCAAATTATTCTAATGAAATTATATGATATCACTGTTATACTGTTAAGATTTGTTAATTGATAAATCAAATATTTAAATCAAAAAAAATTTTTTTTTCTAGAACACTAATTTTAGAAACTGAGAATGAAAGTGATTTAAAAAAAATGGAGAAAAGAGATTACTATCACTAATTACAAATGAAATTTTAAAAAGTTCCCACTTACAAAATCATTTATCTAAATTTATAAACTGAATAAATTTTACTAATTTCCCATTATTAAATTGTATTAATTTTCATGAAAAAAGTAATCTTGAAATTAATGAAAAGAATTAACTTTCTTTAATCTTAGGTCCATGTGTCAATAACTTATGTCCAGCTGGCTACTCATGCAATGTCAATAATTATTGCTGTCCACTTGGTTCCGGTGCTGTACTTGGTACAATTTATACTATTTGTGTCATTTTCTTATACATTTTTTTCTTTTATATATATATATATATATATATATATATATTAACTTATTTTATCTTACTACGATAAATTTATCATAATTAATTATAATAAGTTAGCCATTTAGCCTCTGATCACTTCATATTAAGTGCTAAATATTTATTAACAAATTAGCAAGCTTAGAAAAAAGTTTAAGTTTAATTTCTCGAAATCGTTCTACTCTGATTTCTTTTACTCATTTGATACTTTCAGGTCCTTGCATTAATAATCAATGTCCGGCAGGTTATACCTGTGGTGCCGGTAATTTATGCTACTCAATTGTAAGAAGTGGCTTAAAAAAACGAAAATAAAACGATAATATCTTTGGTTTATGAAATGTTTTCCGTTCCTTTTTTTTTCTCTTTTTTTTTTTTTGAAAATAATTTATTTGCCAAATTTGCTTTACATTGTTTTCTGTCGTGTTTTTCTCCTAAATTTTATATTTCCTTTACTTCACCAATTCAATTTTAGAAATTTATTTGCAGAAAAAAAATATTTTTCTTTTTCAAAATATAATTTTCGATAAAGAAATTTCGAATTTGATTTTTTTTTTAAATTTATAAATTTATCACTAAAGAAAATTTTCCTATACGATATTGGTTTTACTACTTCATTCTATATTTTTACTAAACAATGATGTATAATGAATGTTTGATTATGTTTCTTACCTCCTTAATAAGCTCAGACTTTTGATAGATTTAGTCGAACACTTAGTTATGATACTTTATATAATAATCTAGAAATAATTAAGTATTACTCTACTACTATCCACTCTTAAGTATTACTCCACTACTGCTACTATTACTATTATTACCATTGATTTGCTTACTTCAAATTATATGAATATTTGTCGCAGTTGAAAAATGTTTCGTAATAAAAGTAAAATTTTGTTTTTAGTTTTTTTTTTTTTTTTTTTTTTTCCTTTTTAGAATTATATTGTCCACGAAAGAAAGATTTCCAATCAAAAAATTTTATTTTCAATGAAACATATTCAATGAAATTTCATTAACAAATTCAACCGGAAAATGAATTCAAATTGGCATATAAAACTTTAAATTTGTTAAAAAGTAATTTGCATAAAAGATCGTACATCTCAATCATACAGTATAAATGCTTCAAAATTCTTTATAAAAACATTAGCAATTTACTAATTAGTGGAATACAGTTGCACATCATCGATTCGGCTGTTGCTGAAATATTCTGTTCAGATACGATTGAGTTCATTTTTCTAATTCAAGTAATTCAAATATTTTAAAATTGTCAAATTATTCATTTTAATATAATTATTAAATTGAAAATTACTGAAGTTGTTTATTACATTCATAAAATTTTAGATTTCATCCCTTTCACATTTGTATCTATGAAAAAAAAAGTAAATTATGCTAATTAAATTAATCATTTGCTTTTAAAGAATTAGAAATCATTTAAATATTTCACAAAATTATTAAAAGATAACCTAAAATTGACAGTTATTTAGAGTTGTAAATTTAAATTCATTAAAATCTTTGGAAATTGTATTATGATTATAATTTTTGATTATAATTGGAAAAATCTCTTCAGCTAATTATTTCACTGAATTTAATTCATAGTTTGCATTTGAAATATTAATATCCTCACTTCCAGATCATCCAATCCCAATGAGTTTACAAGCGTCACCATCAGTGCGCGGTGGTGGTGGAGGTAGTAAAGGTGGCAAATTAAAAGGTACTGAAAAAGCTACCGTACATTCCTTCAATGATTTGGTACCAGCACTTAAAAGTATCCTATATGATAAAAGTAATGTACAATTGGATAAGATATTGTCCGCACTGGAAGCAAAAACTCAATTACCACGTGAACAAGTGAATAATTCCTAAAAATTTTTTTGCAATATTTCAATACTAAATCAAATCAAATAAGACAAAATGAAATAGCACTAGCGGAACGGAATACATTTATAGTAGCGGAAAAAGCAAAAGCAAGACGGAATAGAACTCTTTTATAATAATTTAATAAGGAAAAGAAATCAAATAAATAGGAATGTAAATGCTTTTTTTCTTTTTAATTTAATATTTGTCAAAATAAGATGATAATAAAACGAAGCGGAGAGAAATTTTTAATTTTAAATGTTTGCACAAATTTATTTCTGATCATTTAATCTTAACTTTTAAAGTTCTTCCCAAAATTTTTAAAATATTTGGCAAAATTAAGAAAGAGAAAAAAGAATTGATAAAATCAAAAATCTCTCTGTTTCTCTCCGTCAACTCTTTTGCTATAAAAATTAAATTATAAAGCTAACATATGGTATGATGGGCCTTATTGCTATCTATCTGGCTGTTGGATCACTGGCACAGCTTGTTTGTAATTTAATCGGTTTCGGTTATCCGGCATATGCTTCAGTTAAGGTAAGTAAGTAAATAATAGAAAATGCTTATTATAGCAAACATTTTAAGTGCTAATTAAGATAGAAATTCGAATTAGTGCTATTTTTATGTTCATAAATTTAAAGAATGATAAAATTGTCGCAGATCTAAATGACAAATGCTTGACAATTGATGACAAGGTTGAAAATTGTTTAAAAAAAATGTTAAATTTGAAATACAATGAGTTATTATTAGGTAATTATCCATTTTAGTTCAAAATTTTAAAATCCATCAAACTAATTTAGGCAATTCGAACTGAGCAAAAGGACGATGATACACAATGGTTAATTTATTGGACGGTATTTGCATTTTATTCACTGATTGATTTCTTTGCTGAAGCAATTATGCGTGTTGTACCATTGTATTGGATAGTTAAAGTAAATTTAAATATCTTTCAGTTCTATCAAATTTTAATTTTTTAAACTTAATTTAAAACTTCACTTATTGTTTACATAAGCTGCTTTGAAAATGACTCATACATTTATTTTCGATATAATAACTTTTTTTTTTTTTTGTTTTCACACTAGCAGTATTTAATTTCGACATTTCTGTAATGAATTCTCATAATTTGATTTTTAATTTTCCGCCAATGTATTTAATTTCTTTATTTTAATTCTTGAAAAAAATTGCATAAATACTTTTTTGCTCAGAAAAGAAAAATTAAATCAATTAAATGTAAAAAATATTATTTTCAGGTGATATTCCTATTGTACCTATCTCTACCACAAACTTATGGCGCTCAAATTATCTACGAGAAATATCTCGACTCATTGATTGCGACGATAGAAAAATCTTTCAATAAAAAATGATCTCTCTATTGATTCATTCCTAATGAAAATGCAAATTGACTAATTGAATGATTAATTGATGTGAATGATAATTCAGTAAAAATGATAACTATGAACTTACATATGTGCATTACATTTGTGCACGCATATGCATGCATGCATGTCTTGCGTACACACAACTTAATTTATTATTTTAAAATCCTCAAATGTCAGCAATATTTGCCAAATAGAATTTCATATCCTATTTTTCATTTTTTTTTCCATTCCTTTATAAATTTTTTCATGCAATTTATTTATTAAAGAGAGCAAAGACAAAAAAGCAATAAAATATTTTCTCCCTGCAAAATTTTAATCTAAAATTTACATTTTTGACATTTTAAATAATTTCAATCGATAGGGGAATTCACTAATGACTAGCAATTTTGCATAAAATTACTGGAAGAAAATACTATAAAAAACTAAACTTGCGGTTTATTAAATTATTTTCATTAAATTCTTTTACAAAAGATATTGTTGCCTCTTAGTTGTGCGAAAGTTAAAAGAAGAAAAAAGGAATTCAAAAACTGAAAGAAAAAGGAACAAATGACAATTATAACAATAATGTATCGCCAATTGATATTTTCAGTTGCGCTATTGTCAATTATTAGTTTACAAATGACATTTGGACAAAATTTTTTTGAGCAAAATATTGATCATTGTAAGTTTAAAAATATTAATTTTGGAAAAAAACAATCAGTGTGTTTTCTTCCGAGCAAAATTATTTTATTTTTTTAAAATAGAAATGTACAATCTGCGGGCGACAAGGAAAGTTTTTGAATTTTGTAATATTTGCATTTCATCCATTGTTTAATCATTGCTTTTAATTTTTAATCACAACAAATGTTCATAGTTCAAATACTAAAAATGACCAACATTTTCACACAGTATATGAAATTCGATTGATATCAGAAGTTTAAATTAAAGTTCACTGATTTAAATGATATTCAAAAATTTTTCAAAAGACATGTTTTTCTAAATTAAAATTTTCACTAAGATTAATTTAAATCTGAAATTAAAAAAAAAACCCTTTTGAAACAAAAAATTTACAAAAGAAAGAAAGAAGAGAAAACGAGAGAAATGAAAATAACATCATTTGATAGATTCATCTCTTAGCAAAATGATTATACTATTAATCGAAAAATTTCATTATGTAAAACTGAATTTTTCAAATAAGACCAAAAATATGGGTATATTTGAGTTTAAAAAAAAAAAAAAAAAAAAAAAAAAAAAAACTTTTCCTTTGTTTTTTTTAAGATATTACCGATGACAGGTGTCACGAAGCAGTTTTAAATTGCACTAATCATTGGAGTATGATTCCATTTATTCCACCTGTTGGATTATGTGAAGAGTAATGAAAAAAAGTTCCACTTTAGATTTTCTTTTCTGTGAATAAGAGCGAAAGTTTGTAGTTATTATACAAGAAATTTTACAAAATCGACCGCATATTATTATTTACCGGGAAATATACCGAACGATAAGTCTTGAATATATATTTTGCTTCCTCAATTTAAATGCATATCGATTTGTCATCTAATAAAGATGTTGCAAATCATCATTAAGCACTAATAAATTGAGGGTTGATTAAAAAATTCCATAGTATCAGAAATTATCAGAAAATTATCAGAAATTCAAATAAATTGAATTATAGTAATAGGGTTATTGTTTAGTGAAATACTAAAAGAAAAATTATTGACTAAGCATAAATTAAAAAAAAAGGAATAAATTTGGACACAATTCTCATTTGTTATATTTCTTTGTTAGCATTTTTGCTATTATTTAATGACAAATAGTACTTATTATTATTTAATTTTAAATAACGCTTTTTATCATTTAATTCAAAAAAAGAATAATCTGATAAAATAATTAGTTTTAAGGGAATGGCATGCTTTTTCTACATTAATAATTAATTAATATAATTTCCAATTTTTATTTATTTTTCTAATATTTGCTATAGTATTTATTTCACAAAAAGTTAAGGTTTCAATATTTCAATTTCTTCAAAATGCATTTGATAAAACAATATCGTAGTATTACAGCTTCATCAAATAAATAGAATTGAATTGTGAAACAAAAATTTCTTTCTATTCTTTTGCTAATTAATTTCTGTTCTTTTTTAAAATTTATTTCTGCTTCCTCATTACATTAGATAAATTTTGCTTTATTGATTGACCTATATCCCATGTCATATTATTATTCCACTATTCTCTATCTTTACTTGTAATTTAGCATTAAAGATTAATTAAAGCTTGAAATTATATAATTGTAATTCTAAACTTTAATTTAGATATTTCTCAATTGAATGTATGACCGAACTGGTCGTTTCATCAAATTGTATCGATGAACCGGGTTATGGTGAATTTCTGGAAAAAATTGCAGTTGTAATTGGTTTGTATTACATTCATTCAGTAATTTTTTTTCCATTTTTTTCCAATTATATATTTCCAATTAATGCAAATATTTTACCACTGAAATGCTCTTACAGAAGACTGCGCTAAATCCGGAATGCGATGGACATCAATTGTCCTGAAACAGTTGATCAGTAGGGCGATGAAACATATTTTGTGTCATAAAATACAAAAACATTGTTACAATATTACCACATGGAATCCGCAGAAAGGAATATGCGAGTATGTTAATTAACAATGCAAAAAAAAAAGGAAAATATAATCAAAAGTATATAAAAATATGATAGCATCAAAAATGATAAAAGTATGATAGTTTCAAAATATTTTCTATTCAGCATTAAATTAATTCAGTGCATCAAAAATTATATTATTTTCATCTACTGATAGATTACATCAAGGCCATTGATTAGTAATCAGTTAAAAGTTATATTATCAATCACTGATAAATTGCATCGCTTCCGGTTACACTAATTGATCATCAAAAATGATAATTGCAAAAGCTGAAAATAACCAAATTCAAATAAAGTCGAAATTTGGAAAATTTCAGTGTAATCAATATTATTGTCCGAATTGTCCTTTTTATTTTAATTTGTACCATAACCAACAGATATATTTATGGTTTAATTTAAAATATTTCAAATTACAAAAAAAGAAAAAAAAAATGTAACTTATTTTAGCCTAAATTTTCCGGCTTGTATAATGCGAACATATGCTGAAGAATACTGTAAGGAATTTGAAGATGACTTAGAGGTTTGCTTACAAGAATGTAATCGATTTCTGTTTCAATATTTGTATTACTATTTACAAAGAGTAATAAATTAATAACTAATTAGTAACAATAATAATAACAACAACGATAATTATTATTGCATTATTATCAATCAGTGATTGTTATCTTTCAATATTGCAGTCCTTTTTTCATTTCTTTTTTACTTTCGGGATGTTTTTTAAAGTAAAATTAGATGAATTTTAGTTGGAGTATTACATGTGCTTGTCGGGTGCAACAAAATGTAACAACAAGAGAGAAGTAATCAATGAATGTGAGAAAGAATATCTGGTAGAAATCAGACGGATCACTGGAGAGATTGATCGACGACGTAGTTTGGCTACCAGTAAAAATAAATTGGAAAAAACAATTGGTTAATTGAATAAACCGTCTAACTAAAATTTCAAAAACTAAACTATCTGATATTTATTTCAATTTCAATTTGAATTATTCATTATCAATATAACGTTGATCAAATTTACTGATTACTATAATATGAATTAATGCGTGAAATTTGCTTTATATTAATTAATTGACAAAAAAAAAAATTCACTGTAAATCATTATCAGTGAGTAAAATAAATTTTCAGTATATTAAGTGCTTAAACAATTTTATAAAAAATATTCAAATAAAAAGAGGAAAAAAAATTTATCATTATATTACATATTAGACTGTAGAAAATTTCAGATTTCTTAATTACAAAATTTAAGCGAAAAAAAAAAGAAAAATGAAATTTAAGAAGTATAAATTAGAATAAATCCGATCATCGTTTCATTTTATTTCCATTTCTATTAGCATCAAGGAGAATCTAACTATTCTTAAGTTCTTCCCAATTCATTATCGTTTATCATTTGCCTTCTTCATCCTCAAACTTAATATCACAGAGTTAAAAAGAAAGAAAACAAAACTATTTTATAAATATTATTATTTAAACAACTATGTTAAGGAATTCTTCACATATGAAAAATTCTCAAATAAAAACATTAGTCACTAATTTTTGAATTATTAGTATCATAACTAATGCACTATATAAAATAATTACAAAAGTTTTATTTTTTACAAGTTAACTTACATCCAATAAGATTATGCAAATTAGAGATAAAAAATCATTAAATAGTAACATAAGTACTAAATAAAAAAAATTTTTTTGAAAAAAAAAAAAAAACTTATAAAGCAAACAAACTGTCTTTGTTATTTTATTTCTTTCTTCAAATAATTCAGTCCATTTAATCAAATTATTTATCAATAACTGGTAACATCAATTTAAAAGTATTGTAATGATTTTTGATTATTAGCTAATAAATAATATTACTAATTATTAGCTTACTGATACCATTAAATACAATTAAATATAAGCGCTATTAAATAGATTACATCTAATGAGCAAAATTATTCAGTGATATTATGTAAAACGCATAATACTACGGTACGGCGATGTAGCAAAAGTGTATTTAACAGTATTAGGAAAATTACGGTATCCCAAATAAACTTATTACAGTGTCAATGAACGAAAAACTGTATCAAAGATAATACTGAAATGATAAGTATGAAAGTATATTGATAACAAATTGCTATAAACATAGCACATGATATCAATAGATATAGAAAACTACTTTACTGATAATAAAATTAAACGTAGATTTTGGAATGGCCGACGAAAACAATAAATAAAGTCAGCTAATTACATTGTAATTCAGCTTTCATTAGGTTAAATTGTTTGTCATAATGGTTCGTCGAAATTTTTCACGGGCTGCAATGATGAGTGTTAAATTCAGTCTTGAGCAATCGATAAATAATTTGAGGGATACTCAGCGTGGCGGTGGCTGACGTCTCATTGCTTTTGTCGGTGTTTTGGGCTAATTTGTTGAAGTTTTTCTTGTGGAAGTGGTTGGAAGGGTTAAAGGTTGTGACAAATGCGATAGCATGATGTGTATTGTCATTGCATATTATCACTGTGTCTTGTTGATTAGGGTCAAGTGATATAAGTTACTGATAATATTTAAAGTCAGGGGTGTTAAATGGTATTTGCTGGATGCATTTTTACTAGTTGGATATGTTTACTGCCATTTATTAATATTGATATATCATATATAGGAGCTAATGAAATGTTGCTATAATGATATTTATTTCACTAAAATTCTGGGAATTATGCTGTGTTTAGTATACCAGTTAAATTTTTGTTCGCAGTTAATTAAAACACGTAGAAGCTACTTGCAGTAATAGCTTGTTATATGATTAAATTACATACATTTATGTCTAATGTGATAATTTTACAAGGGAAATACTATTCCTTGAATAGAATGATTCTTGATTTTGATGAGTTGATGCTATTCTTGTTACTTTGAGTATTTAAGTTCTGTGGTGCAATCAATTCATTTAGAACAACTTATCTTCTTATATTAATAATAACTTTAGCGGCATATTTCATTTTCAGTGATTCTTTGAGTACTTGTTTTTATTCCTCTATACGTATTCAACTAAATAACTTTTTCCGAAACTCTTTTTTCACAGTTTTTTTTTTCTTGTAGGTGTTTAATTTGAAGCTGATGGCTAACGATATTAAAGGTGATATAATGGACGATAACAAAGATAATGGTAAAAACTGGAATTGTTTTCAAGTTTTAAGTTTGGGATAAAAGTGAAGTGATTAGTGTTCGAAATTGCTTCTTCATTGGCTGTTAGGTAGTATTCGCTAACAATGAAAGTAGAAATTTTAAACTGCATCGTTAGCATGAGGTGAAGCCATATTGTCGGATTAGTTTTTTGAATAACTGTCCTTGGTTTTTCGAATATGACGTTAATGCGAAGTTTTATGATAGGATAGTATCGAAAAAAGGAGAAATGTTACTGTTTACAAAATTCATACTTTCACTCGTATAGTTTCTCTTTTTTTAGATTTTAGTAACTAGATTTTTTCTCTATTTTGAAAAAAGAGTTACACCTTCAAGACCACAGACATTGTAGGACAACTCTCAAATTTTGGGATTTGAATATTAAGTAAGCGCATATTCATAACTACTATGTGTGATGTGGTCTATGTTCCATTTTTTTAGCACAAAGATAAGTTTAAATTATAAAAATCAAACTGAACTATACTGTCGTTAAATGAGAAACATACATATGCTTATAAAAAAATCGCAAGTTTTGTTTTTCTGATGCGATTGTAGAAGTCAATCCGGCTAATATGCAAGGGACTCTTTCGGCTGGACAGAAACGTAGTCGTGACGAGCGTGGTGGGCCAGCAACGAAGAAAGCTCATGTTTCAGAAACAGAGGGTAATTTTGCGAATTTTGGAAATGAATTTGAAAAGTTCTTTTTTTCGTGAAAAGGATGTGACATTTATTAGGTTCGTGAAAAAGATGTGGCATATATTAGGGATTGAGATTCAAAATCAAAATTTTGGGTTATTTTCATCGCATCGCAGCTTTTGTTTGGAAAATGAGTGAACTTCGGTCATTAATTACAGCTATTTGGGGGGAATCCTAGCCATTTAAATTGAATCAGGTTGGCTAGCGAAAAAAGAATTGTAAAAGTTTGGTGTTAATAATTGAATTTTATTCAAGAAATCACAGTTTACCGAATTGTAATACTTTTCATTCTTTTTGAATTTGGAGGGATTTTGAAAGAATTTTATTGGATAATGATATTCACTGTATGAAATTCAGACAAAGTCTTAACTGTTTGTTTTCTAGACAACATGGTGCAGGTAAAGGTACTAATTCCTTCAGCAGCTGTTGGTGCTTTGATCGGCAAAGGTGGAGAAACAATGCGTAATTTAAAAAGCGAATCTGGCTGCCGTTTACAAATGAGTAAAAATCAGGAAGTATATCCAGGTTTCTCTTTACTTTCCCATAAACTGCTATTCAGATGGAAAACCAGTCTATTTTCAAAATGAGGATTGTTTATTTTTTGCTTGACCTGGTATCCTTCCCATCAGATAAAATATATCTTATCCACATCTAAGAAACACGATTGATACACTATCACTTCTGACATTAGCTAAACCAAACGAATCTTTTTACTAATGGATCACCTAAAAATGACTGATGAGTTACTAGCATCTGTTATTTAGGCAGTTGATCATTTGTAGGCAGTATTTACGCTGACCGCGTCAGGGATTTTACCTCCAGGTATGCTAACCACTTTATTCATTCGACTGATTAATAACTGGACACATAACATTTGAAGTGTTTAGGAACTAATGAACGGATTTGTTTGGTAAAGGGGAAAATTGCATCTGTTCTAAAAGTTTCCGATGTTATTTTGGAAAAGATTCGTGAGAAAGTGGACAACAATACCCCATCGGATATTTTCGATCATAAAGGAATGGAACGCAAAAATGAGGTGAGGAAGAATTTTAAATATCGTGATGCTCTGACATTGCTTTCTATCACATTTTGCTACAGTCTAACTGAAAAATCGTTCAGATTATCATCTTACATTTGTTTTTAAAAATTTGAATTTCGAGAAATTCCAGTTCTCTTCGAATTCAGTTTTCCACTGTTTTTAGAATTTTTACAGTATTCTTCTCTTCATTTCCCAAAAACATATTCACTCAATAGTTTTTTTTTTTTTCGAAATTCATGATCAATTTGTTGTAGAAAGCCAATCATCTTGCTCTCAATATATGTTCCAACATTATTGAATCCCGAAGTTTCAGTATCTTTTATTACTCTCTAATCAGTTTGGTTTACAGATTGCTCCAGAAAAGCTTACCTCTCGTGGTCAGAGTCTATTCTCTCTCACACAAATACCTTTCGATAATGCTTATCTGAAGACACGAATTCGGATCTTCTCTTAACCTCAAAATCTTTTCCCTTCAAAAATTTGTGCTTGCTAATGATTAGGTAGTAGGCGAATTTGTTTTGCATGTTCCTGATGGGGCACGTTCACTTTTACATTGTTAGGTTACCATAAACTATTCTTAAACTTTTAAGAATTTACCTTTGTTTTCCATCTAACTCATGTTTATCTCACGAACTGTTTTAGTTAATTTTAACTTGGTCGTCCCCTTATCACAAAATATTTGGACCTTGTGCTGTTGATCGTGGAACCTCATCCGGACTGTGCAAAACCTGCAGGTGTACCCAAGACTGGTAGGATTCTAATAAAACAAAGTCATCAAAAATTCAGATGAAACTCGTGGTGCCAAATACTTCGGCCGGAATGGTGATCGGTAAGAGTGGTGCGCGTATCAAAGAAATTCGTGAGCAAACTGGGGCAAATATCCAGGTTTATCCTAAAGCTGGCAGCCAGGAAGCTAAAGTTAGCCAAGAACGGATTATCACGATAGCTGCTGAACAGGATGAAGTTCTCATGGATGCCCTCCAGCGTGTCTTGGAAAAGGTAGCAGCAGATCCGCAACATGCCATGGCAAC